GGTTGTGTGACTTTTTTTGTAAACGTAAGAATTCATACAATATTGAACGATTTTGTATCATTTTTTTTAACATATGAAGTAAAAAATGTATGATTCTTACGGTTTTTATTCTCACGTTTTTGAATAAATTAAGATTTAAAAAATTTTCAAAATTGTAAGACATTTACACTCAGCCCATAATGAAATAAAAGATAAAATTTTTTTAAAAAAATAAACTTTAAAAATTCATGTCTCAGAATCAACATTGAACTTTAAGAAGCTAATGATTATTTGAATTTATGAAATCAATTATTTGATTCATTCTTTCTTCAATAATTTCTATTCTTTTTGTTAAATCATCTATTTTCATTAATGAGGTGATTCTTGATTGAGGAATAGATTTCAAACTAACCACTCCTTTTATTTTTGAAATTTTGAATCCATCAACTTTAAACATTTTATTCAATTTACATGTTGTCAATTCTTCAAATAATTTTTTATTATTAGCATAATAGTCATTAAATTCTTCAACAGATGAAAAAATTTTTATTTCAGTAATTGGTTTAACAACGTTTATTTTTTGTTGAACATTTTCACTTTCATTTATTTCTTCCTCCTCTGTTTCATTTATTTTTAAAATCGGTTTCATTTATCATTAAATAAAAATTAGAATATAAGTGATGAAATCCAAAATCAAAGCAGATAAAATTAAACCACCTGCAACACCAAAACCTCCAACGACAGTACCGCCTCCTCCTTCAGTTAATCCTTCATCATTCACTTTATTATATCCATTTCAAACATTTAAGAAGCAAAAAGATTTTAAAAAGGATTTCAAGATATTAAATAAACCAATTGACCCGAAAATTCAACCATTAAAGGAAAAATTTAGTCGCCCTTCATTTGCTCCATATCCATATTCATACGAAATAGATCATCTGGAATATTCAAAAGGAAACGTTACTTATTTATTTGCCATTAACATTAACACTAGATATTTATATTGCATTCCAGTGAAAGGGAAAACAGAACAGGAAACAAGAAGAGCTATTCAATACTTACTAGATCATGAAAGAGTAGATAATATAAGGGGTGATGGTGATAAAGGATTTCAGGCAGCTATGACTCATTATTTCCCACAAATTAATTTTTACTTTTCATCCTCTCCATATACGTTTCATAATAAAATAGTTGATGCGGTAATGAGAACTCTTAGAGATGCGTTAGGGGTTAACGGTCAGATATACTGGGATGGAAATCATGACTCCATCATACAACAGTTAGTATATTATTACAATAATACATGGCATAGAACTATAAACATGAAACCAGTGGAAATGAAAAATGATATTTCAAAAGAATGGGAATATATTAGAAAGCAAATGGAAAGGTTGAATGATGTTAAACGTGAACAAATTAATTCGGGGCTCATGAATTTTAAACAAGGGGATAAAGTTTTGATTCATCTCGATTATGGAAAAACTGATAAATCAATGACAAAAAGAAGACGAAGATTTGACACAATAGCTGAATTTGTTAGATATATTAACGGTAATGTATTAGTTGAAGTTGACAATAAATTAATAGAAATTCCGATTTATTTTATTACTCCATTATATTTAAATAATATTTAATTTTTTTTTTCGTAAGAAATGAGTGACAACGAAGCAGCCAAGAGTCCAGACGATGAATATAAAAAGAAACTAAACAGAATTAAATCAAAAATATGCTATTACAAAAAGAAGCCGCAATGCGGTGGGGTTGAAAACGATAAAGAAATAATCGAAAAATTAGAAACTTACCGTTCAATCCTTAAACTGAGTGAAGCAAAAATAAAAGAATTTAATAGAATAAATAAATTGGTTGGAAGAGATGAATTTAATAAAGATGAATTTTTAAACTCTATCCAAATTTAATTTTTATTTCTCTTCGACAACATCTCTCTTTCCATCATTACTGCATAACCACATTTTCTCAATTTTAGTGGTTTGTTATTTTTAACATGTTCTTGCATCATTTTTATCATTTCCTCCCTTGTTATGATTCGTGGTAAATTTTGAGCTTGTGGGGTATCCATTTATGATAAAAATAAAATTTGTTATCAGTTATTTTATCGTTAATGTTTACAGGTTATTCAATAATGAATTATTTTTGAAGAACTGAAGGTGCTACCATGTTACCATGTGCTACCAGGTTAATTAACTTCTTTTAAAAAATGAGACAACATGACATTTAGACAACACAGTAGGGGAAGGCAGTTATGAATTATTTTTGAAGAACTGAAGGTGCTACCATGTTACCATGTGCTACCAGGTTAATTAACTTCTTTTAAAAAATGAGACAACATGACATTTAGACAACAACATAGGAAATGTTTTGTCATGACTTCATCGTAATGAGTGTAAATGACCCAAAAATAATGTTTAGGTGAAGAGGTGAGATTTCACCTAATTTTTCACCTCATTTCTACCCTCTTGCGATTTTCGAATGGAATCTCTTCTCTCGGTTTTCCGAGGGAAGCAATCATATGAGGAAATTCTTGTCTTTCATGTCTGATGGTTTGCAGAATAGAGCATTTGGTACATATCATCTTTGACCGAACGAATGAGGTGAAGTTGTTTGTTATATTGTATGTACTCGTATTCTTCATTAATGGCTTCATGAACGATAGCAGTTGTTGTGTTCTCTGTTGTTGACATATCTGTTATTTCATACAAAATAAAAATAATTTTAAAACTAACTTTATTTTTTCTGACTTTCACAAAAGACCAAAAATAAACGCTTTACATGTATTTTTCAGCAACTTCGTCAAATAATTTTATAGCTTTATCTATCTCATCTACTTCAAACGTTTCTTTACCTTTCATGGGAGCACCATACCTTTTCTCAAACTTTTCAAGTAGTTCTGTTTCTGCAGCTCTCATATCATTAACGAACACAACCTTGACTCTATTGACTGTACTGTCATATCTTTGAGTTATATTATATGTTCTTCCTATCTTATATCTCTTTGTATTGAAGTCCTTCGGTTTCTGAACGATATAAAGTAAGCCTTCACTGCAACGTTCTGAGTCGAATGAACCATAAGTTATGAAGTTATATCCAACAACTGGGTCTAACCATAACAAAACTATTGGTATAAGACTTTTGTCTATAAGATATGCTCTTGTTCCATGAAATGTTACTGATATCATGAGCTCAGGATTTCTTGTCAAAATTTTCTGAGTAGAAGCATTTCTAACCCAGTCGTTTGTTTTCTTTTCAGATGGAGATATAATGTCTGACAAAGAATATTTGTTGTATTTCTTTGAGTATCTTACGTTTAAATCACCTATTCTAACCACTTTGGTGTCATTGTCTATCTTTCTAACTGTTTCAAACTCAATGTTTGACATTACTGTCTTTACATACAAAATAAAAAAAGATATAAAAATAAAATTAGCGTTATTTTTCTAACTAATGAATTATTTTTGAAGAACTGAAGGTGCTACCATGTTACCATGTGCTACCAGGTTAATTAACTTCTTTTAAAAAATGAGACAACATGACATTTTGACAACAACATAGAAAATTTGATGTAGCCCAAAAATAAAGTTAGTTTTAAAATTATTTTTATTTTTTTATTCCTATATAAATGACGGCAACAAACAACAACAGCAACTATATCATTTCTGATGAAAAAGTTATTGATTCATTAGTTGATTCATTAGTTGTGGCAGAAACTAAAACCCTCAACGAAAGAATTGGTGAAAACAAGATTGATTTACATAACTACCTCAAACATGATGGAGGAAGAGGAAGGAAAACTGGTACAGCTTTATTAGTAAATAAAATTTCAAATTTAACGATTATAGATGTTGATATCAATAAATCAACAATGATGAACTTAAAGAAACAGTTAGAAAAGACATTTTATCAAAACTTTCGGATAAAGATGTTATCGTTAAAACCGCATCAGGAGGTCTTCACATTTATTGCAACACTAATTTCTTCTATTCAACCTCGAACAGAATGATTAAATGTTATTCCTGCAATGATTATGATATTGACATAATGACTTCTATGGATGATTCAAAGCGTTCATTAGTGGTTATGGCTGATTCAAGAGTTCGCAAGAATGCAACAGAACCAATCAAAACATACTCATTCATTCGTGGAAGTTATGATTCAACATTAACTAGAACAGTAAACGATATATTAAATGATTTGAATATTAAGGTAAGAGTTGAACAGAAGAATGAAGAAATAAAGAGTATAAATGAAAACAAAGATGTAAACATTGACGATAAACTTGCCCAGAGCATAGTTGATGGCATCTGTGATTTTGAAGTACATAATGACGGTGGAAACATGAATTTAGAAAAAGAAATAACATTATTCACACTGTTTCAAGCAATTAATTCGTTACCTAATCATTTAATTAATGAAGCATACGATAACGTTTATAACTTCTGCAGTTTAACAGAAAATGCAAAAAGTAATTTTGAAAAAGCACGTGGTAGATATGCACATTTAATGACTTCTCCATTTGTTTTGGTGAAGATTCTAAAACTTTATCAAAAGGAATATTATGATGAATATGTTTTACCTTTATTACGTAAGCCAAAAATAACATTTGATATAAAACTTGATGACTCGTTTTTGATAACAGATATTAGACGCAAGGCTGAAAATCATCAGTATAAAAACAGTTCTGAAGTAATTGAGGATTTATCACGTGTAATCCGTTTTGTAGATTGTGGAAACAAATATTTCATTCAAAAGGACTATAATATCCACGACAAAATGAATCAAATATCATTCGTTCTTCAATCAAACATGAAAGAGTCACTCAAAATGATTAAATTATTTAAAGAAGAAGGTAAAACCATAACAGCATGGGATGTACTACTAAATCAATTATCCTCATTAACCGTTAAGGGTGTTTGCTTTAAATCTGATTCCCAGATGTTTTCTCAACGTTTCAGGGTTATAAATACAACATTCTTGAAAAGCCTGATTACTCAAAAATTGAGATGTTTATGGATTTCATTAAAGAAGCCATTTGTGATAATAACGATGAAATGTATAAATACCTTCTCGGCTGGATTGCATCAATGATTCAACATCCTGGAATCAAGAATGAAACAGCAATTATTTTGAAAGGACTTCAGGGAACATGTAAAAACAGATTTACAGACATTATTTCTGAACTTCTCGCTGGTTATTCATGTAAAAACATTACTGAAATAAGTGAGCTAACGGGTAATTTCAATTCGGTTGTTGAAAATAAAATGTTTCTTGTACTTAATGAACTCAAGAATGTAGGTGAAGACAGACTCGCAAACTTCAACGCTTTGAAATCAATTATTACGGATAATGAGATTAGAATTAATGAAAAGAATCAACCCAGAAGAACAGCTCAGAACGTTGCAAACTTCATTTTCGTAACTAACAACGTCTACCCTGTCAAAATTGAAGTTGGAGACAGAAGATACGTAGTTTTAAGAGTTAATGGTAAATTCAAGGGTCAATTTGATTACTTCAAGAATTTAATGGATTCATGCACTAAGGAATTTTATGATAATTTACTAACATATTTTATGCAATATGACCTTTCATCATTTAATGTACGAATCATACCGATGACTGAAGCCAAACAAGATTTAATAGAATTATCATCAAATCCTTTAGATGTATGGATAAATACACATTATGATGAATTGTGTGCAGGTATGACGTGTGAAAATGCTCTATTCTGCAAACCATCAGACATGAAAGACAAGAATTTCCAAATGAGTATTAAGGATAAATGTGATAGGAAACATAGAAGAATAGACGGTAAACAAACATGGTGTTATGTTTTGAAAGAAGAAATGAAAGGATTATATAAACAGGTTGAACCAAACGATAATGATGATTCATTTACTGACGATGAAATACCTGTAAATGATGCTTTATAAAGTATGATTGGAATTTATTTTTGCCTTCCTCCTGCTGTGTTGTCTAAATGTCATGTTGTCTCATTTTTTAAAAGAAGTTAAATGACCTGGTAGCACATGGTAACATGGTAGCACCTTCAGTTCTTCAAAAATAATTTATTTTTGCCTTCCTCCTGCTGTGTTGTCTAAATGTCATGTTGTCTCATTTTTTAAAAGAAGTTAATTAACCTGGTAGCACATGGTAACATGGTAGCACCTTCAGTTCTTCAAAAATAATTCATAACTGCCTTCCCCTGCTGTGTTGTCTAAATGTCATGTTGTCTCATTTTTTAAAAGAAGTTAAATGACCTGGTAGCACATGGTAACATGGTAGCACCTTCAGTTCTTCAAAAATAATTCATTATTGAATAACCTGTAAACATTAACGTAAACATTTATTTCTGCAGTTCATTCATTACTTCATTACCTAATTAATTCCAAACATAAAATATATTTAGTTCATTCAATGAACGCGGTAAGCCTGCAAAGTAGGCTCAAGCACATTCAATAAATGCGGTACCATGCGAATACAGTCATAAATGGTGGCATATAATCTTTACCCAAGCCTGTTGGATTTGTTGTGAAAGTATGTGAATGATTTCCTCCTGGTTCAGTTGGTCGAAAAGTCTTTTTTGCTGAATGGTTATAACCTGGAGATAAAACGTCATTGCCAGCATAATATTCTGAGTTGTATAATGGATGGTCTCTTAATGAATGTGTATGATTACCTGATGTGTTTGTAGTTCCTGTATGAGTGTGCGGTGGAAGGTTTGCTTCAGTAATTTTCTTTGAACCACCGGTTTCCTTTGAAGAGTTTGCACAATACAAAAACCTGTCAACTATTTGTTCCCATGCACCAACACCAAACATTACTTGAGGACCTCTTGCATCCATAGATGTATAAATAGAACCCACTGGGTTCATTAAATCAAACATATGAGATATTATAGGATTGTCTCTTTTGAACTTAAGATATAGTGTAACTATTTCAGGTTTCTTCTGGTTTGTGTCAGAATATTTTTTATAATATAATCTTATGTTTTCAGGGTAGGTAAAATCTTGACTATAATATTTATTTCTGTCATCTGTATAATAATATACTATTCTCGTTTTTTCTATTGCATTATATCTTTTATATCTATAATAATCTAAATATAATGTTAACTTTTGTTCATCTATATGTGGTGTTCTGACATCATCTCCATAGTCATAATAATATGGTGCTGGAGCTGGGTCAGGCAATGTCATATCTGCCATTTCATAAACTCTTAAATATTTCTTTTGTTCGTCTCCATATAAGTTTAAGTAACAGTTGTTGTCTAATGGAACTTTAACTTGTGTGTCATCATTCTTTTTATAACTTACATACATTTCATTGTTATTTTTCGGAATGAGTTTCCACCGTATACCATTTTTTAAGGAGTGTACAAACTGCCATCTAAAATATTTATTTTCTTCATTGACAGAAAAGTCACCAACAATAGTTTCAATATTTTTTGTTCCTATCAAACTTTGGTATATTTCGTTAACATATGTTTTATCTGCCTTCTTCATTAACTCATCGTTAACATATTCCTTATCTACCTTCTTCTCTAACTCATCGTTAACATATGTTTTATCCGCTTTAAGGTCTAAACATCCTGAAACCCATCCTGTATCAGCTTTAGTTTTTAAAATCTTTGATGTCCATTCATGATACCATTCAACCATTTCTTTAATTTCATTATCTTTTTCATCCACATATTCCTTATCCGCTTTCTTCTCTAACACAGCAGCAACACATCCCTTATCTGCTTTCTTATTTAACTCACTATCCACATATTCCTTATCTGCCTTCTTATTTAACTCACTATCCACATATTCCTTATCTGTCTTCTTATTTAACTCACTATCCACATATTCCTTATCTGCCTTCTTATTTAACTCACTATCCACATATTCCTTATCTGCTTTCTTCATTATGTCATTTAGGAAACCTTTTATGAATTCCTCATTTAAATTAAATCTTCTAATCTTCAAAACTTTAGGAAATGCATTTAATGCGTAATATCTTTGTTCTTCTGGTGGAATTGATGTTATATCATCCGTTATACCTTTAATTTTTGAATTCATAAATAAAATTTCTTTTATATTTGATATCACTGCACCACCCTTGCAAACGAATTCGAAATGGTCATTTTTCAATACTATCTCCAAATCTCCATATTTCAACCTTTGCGTTTGTTCTGCCGTCTTTGAATTATATGCATATATGGCGTATGTAATGGTTTGAAGGACCTGGGTGCTTTGTGTCTTAAGTTGCTGTGGTTGCTGTTGTTTAATCATTTATTATGATTAAAAAATAAATATTTAATCTGTTATCTCATCACCTATTTTTTCTATTTGAAATTGCCATAATATTTCATTCATGAATTCTAAATCACAATCAAATAGGTCGGTTATTCTAAATTTAATATTTGATAAATCTTTTGAATGAAGAATAAATGAATTCCCGGATAATTGAAACGGATATGATAAAGAAAATATGTTTAAGTTGATGGATAAAATGTTTTGTATTGATGGGTAAGAGTTAGGGTCTAATGTTTGATGTGAAAATCTCATTGGGGTATTAACTTTATCACATTTGATTAAAATGAAATTGGAACCAGTGTCAGAATACAAAACATCCCCAACATCTTTTTCAAAATTTAATATCCCCAACAATGAACGAAGATGAGGAGTACAAAATTTAATTTTCAGCGGGAAATTTAATAAGGTTATTTATTTCATCAAGTTCAAAAAGTTTATCGGGTTTTGATTTAAAATTTTCTTCATACCATACGATAAATGATTCATTTAAATAACTTAAAATCATGTTAATATCCCATTTCGTTATCACATTATTTATATACATATCATACGTTTTTTCATGGTCATCTTTAATAAATGATATATAATCTGAAGGGTCTAAAAGAATGGGATTAAATTTACCACTCACAGAAACGAGAGTAACATTATAAATTCCGCTAACTGTTAAATTTAATTCACAGCTATTATTCGAAATAATATTGATAATTGACATTTTTATTACGATTAAAAATATGGTAAAGCGTTATTTTCCAGTGATAAATAAAACTAGAATAAGATTACCTCAAGAATTCATAAATTCAACGAATAAGAAATTCATTCATGTTATAAATTTTAGTGTTTTCAGAAAATATGAGTCAATGTCATATTCATCATCGGGTTATATTTCACTTCATTCAAATTTAGTTCAATCAAACCCATATAATGACCATTTCATAAGATTTTCAGATGGTATTAAAAATGTAATTGATAGATTAAAATATGAACAGATTGACAATATCGAATTTTTGGAATTTTGGTTTAAATATCCCGATGGGAAAAAGATTGAAGTTAAAGATAAAGCTGATACTATAACAAAAACAATTACAATGACCGATCCGGATAGCGGGGAACAAAAAGAAATAAAACAAACGATAGAAACTGGTGAAAGGTCAATTATTATTGATTATGATTCAAAGGATTATTATTCGATAATGTTAATGCTTGAATATTAAATAGCCTTAACAAAGAATTTTTCAAGTGATATTTTATATTCATCAACTATTTTATTATAAATATCATTATATGTTAAATGAAGTTCAGTTGTTGTTCCGTTCTTTGATATCTTAATTGTGCTAATATCCTTTATAGGATTTATTTTTGCAACTGTTCCGCAGCATGAAACCTCATCATCTATGAAAAATTGAATCTTAACGTCTGAATCTTGAACATCACAAAGAATGGCGATAATGTGAATTAATGATTCATAAGGTAAAATAATTAAACCGGATTGATCAATTAAATTTATTATTGAATCATAATTATTAATTATTATATCACGGTAAATTTTCATTAATTCAGAATTAATGTCTATTTTATATGGCGCATTGCGACTGGAATCGTAGATTCCTGGGTTCTCGATGTTTGATGAAAGAGGTGGGGGGTATGTTGGATAAGTGGGAATTTCAACAGGTTCTTTACCGGGTTCAGATAAAATGATTGGGTCTCCATTCTCATGGTTTTCTTCATTCTCTTCATTCTTCGGTAAGTCACGAGTTAATAAATTTGGTTGAGTTGCTGACCTTGTTAATTCAGGGCTAACATTAACTTTAACATTTTAAATAATTCGTGATTTATCATCATTTACGTTATAACCAACCGTAATCTCTGCTTTTGCGTTTGTGTTCTTTTGACTTGTGAAACGTCTTCTCATTTATAATTGAATAAAAAAAAGAAAAATATATTTAAAGTTTTATTTAGTTGTTACGGTAATATCCCAAGGTTCATCATTGTTTGCTTATACTTTCTTTGTAACTGCACCAATTATGTTATTGATATTGCTTTGAGTTTCTTCCAGTCTTATTTTATCATTTACAATATCTTTAATCATTTCATTACATGCATTCTTAAAACCATCTGATTTTTCTAATTTACGTCTATCACTTTCTTTAATTAAATCAAAGTTATAACCTTGTTGAGAATAAAGTGGTTTCTTTATCAATTCCTTGAACGCTTCTGAAAGTGAAGATGAAGAAATTCTTGCCACTTGAATTGGTTTAAATTCTGCTTTCATTGCTTCTTTCTGTTCATTGAACACTGGATCGAATAAAGCAACTTTAAAGAATTTCTTAGCTGGAATTTCAGGTCTAATATTTGCATATTGACCATCAAACTGATTAACATATCGTGGTAATCCATCCGGTCCCTCTTCAACAGCATTTAATTCTTCATTGAAATAAGAATATGGAATAAGATGGTATGAATTAATTGGACCATTTTCACCTTCTCCAATGTATTGTTTAACAGCTTTTCCATTTTCATCAAATTGCATAGGATAACGTTCATTATATGCTTTACGTTTAGGATAATCAGATACAGTTAATTTATAACCATTTATGACTTTAATATTACCTTGACCATCAGTAACGAAAACTTCATTTATACCATCAGGTTTTCCATTTGGTCCTGTAATGTCTGCTTCATGTGCTTCCCAATTTGGACCATGACGTTTGGCATATGCTTGAGCTTCTGGTAATGTTAAAACGTTTCTCATTTGTTTAACATCTTTTTGAAGACCAGCAACAATATGAACTAATTCTTTCATTCCATCTGGAACTTTCATAGTTCTATTATAATATGCACCCTTTTTGTTTGTCCCTTGTTTTAATGGAACCTGTAGAAGATTTGCTATTTCTGTCATGTTTAATTATAAATAAAAAATAAAAATTAATTATAAAAAGTTAATCAAATTTAACACCTCCTTTATTTAAATCAACTATTATTTTTCCATGTTCACCTAATTGCTGATATTGTGTGTAAAGTTCATTAATGCTCATTGGTAAATTCACTTGATAAAGCATAACGTTCAACTGTTGACGACTAAAACCACTGAAAATGAAAAGGGTGGACAGGTTTGATTTAATGTTTGTGCTTAATGCTTTGAAATATTGAACAGCCATAAAGAATGAACACTGAATGTGTCGACATTGAGTTAATAACTGATTAAAATATGATTTCTCATTAGTTATTAGTTTTGATTTCACGGCATCATCTAGAAAAATTAGTGAATGCAAAAATTCTCTATCAAAATTTGAAATAGAAAGTGTTTCAAATAATTCATCCCGTTGTTTATCAATAATTTTATCCTCTAATCCTTGCTTCTTGATTGTATTATATAATTCTTTATACATTAAAAAGTTTTTTAAATAATCTTCTGCTTCTTCTTGTGATAAATAAATAATTGGAATTTTGATTAAATGCTTTAAAGATTCAAATGTATCATCTGAAGGTGAACCTGAACGGTTGATATAAATTAACACATGTGAATGGGGGGAAGTGTTAGCAATAATGATAATTTGTTTTAATATCGTTAATGTTTTACCTTTATTTTGTTTACCAATTGCTGCAGTGATTGAATTTAAGTAACATTCAGAATATGGAATTTTCATTAATTTTTCCTTAGATAGAGCATTTCTATTATCACTCAATGCTTCATTAATCATATCATCTACGTATGTATTATATACATCTGTTAATTCTTCAGAATTTAAATTCATTTAATCAAAAATAAATTTATAATTTTAAACATTTCTATTCATCAATATTTCATCATATGAACTTCTATACTGTGGTGGTGTACCTGTTGGATGATATTTCAAACCTTCATCCGGTGTCCATGTCCAATACGTAGTCCTAGTAAACCAAACCTGAGGAGGATTTGTCACTTTTGAACAGTAAGTGTCATTTTCACCTTGAATGATTGGATAAGCTTTCACTTGTACTGTAACTTGTGAGTTGAAAGTTTCTAATCCATCAAAGAATATACCCGCTCCATCACGTTGAACTGGAATAGTGCATAAGAATGAAGTTTGGTCTTTCCATGTTCTAGCTAATGGCGTGCCATTATCATCATTCAGTGGTCTAGTTAATGAGTCCTCGTATTCTTCTGTGCATTCATTCACTCCATCTAAATCAGAAGCTTGAAGCATACGTGTAAAGAATATGTCACCCACTGTGGTCATCGCTTGATCGGGGAAGTTTCTGGAATCTATAGTGACCTGAAGACCTCGAAGCATTGGATTTTCTAAAACTGTTCTTTGCATTGCATTCTTTGGAAATGTTAACACAACATCTGTAACATTATGAAGAGCGTATGAGAAATCTGAGCTAATACCTTCAGGAGTGATGCAACCTCCATTTAGTGAACGAACGTCAATATGTTGAGCTGGAATCATGAATGGATCTTCCTTACTGAATAAACGTGGTATTGCTTTAACTGATTCTTCAATTAAACCGTATCCTGGTGTAATGCATTTATCCTCTAAAACTTCCATCTTTGTGCATGAAATAATAACGTCATCAACTGTTGCGTCAGCAGATGTAGCGGCTAAGCTTGTAATTAATTTGGCAGGAAGTCCGATTTGTTGGAATTTGCGATCATATTTATAAACATGATTCATAATCTTTTCATAATTTTCATCAGTTATCTTTTCATAAACGTAATTTTGTAAATCAGCAACTCTTAACGGGTCAACCTGACAAAATACTAAAGTATCCCTGAAAACATAATATTTAAGAATGATTTCACCAAATGATTTAGGATAATCATCGAACGCCTGAAATGCTAACAAATCATTTACCGGAATAATCATATCAAAAGTGATATCAACTTCTTCATTTGCTTTCTTGAAAACTTCTGAAGGGTCAATATATTTACCACATACTGAGTTATCATATTTTTGAACATTATTATATAACGAATGAACAAACTTTTTAAATTTCCTTTCTGATTTTGGTTTATATGTTGCAAATGCGAAAGATTCACGGGCGCAATCCATCTGAAGATAACCGGCATCACCTCTTTCGGTTTCTACTTCTAATTGTTTAAAGCTTTGATTTGATGATTTGTAACCAACGAATAAACGCATGCATTTAAAAGCGGCATCACATGTGAAAGCTTTATTTGAAACTAGAGTTGCTTTAACTTTGCGTTTAATATATGTGTCACCTAATTGGTTCACATCATGAGCCGGATTTGTAATTCTTAAATGAGTTTGTTTATCATCAAAATATGGAGTATCAGAGTCATAGCATGAACTTTCAAGTTCTCTATAATATCTTCTACCGTCATTCTTTGCGAATATTTCATTTATCTTTTCGAATGAATGAAACACATTTCCATTAATCGGTTTAGTGTTTGGCACCAAATAGTTAGTCGTCATTTATTATTAAATAAAAAATCAAAATTAAAAGATGAAAATGAATTTTTAATTTTAATGAAATAATCAACTATGGCTGCAGGTATATTTAAGAAACTGTGGGATAAAGTAAAAAGAGGAGCGCATAAAGTTTGGGAAACAATGAAGAAAGGAGCAAATTGGATATTTAAGAATAAAGAAGCAATTAGTGACATTGCTGAATCAATAACGCCAAAAGCTGCCCCAATAAGAGAAATTTTAAATAAAGGAGAAAAAGTTTATCAAAGACTTCAACCGATACTAAGATAAAAATAATATTTATTTATTTTTCCACTATTTACCTCCTATTTTATTAAGTATTCCTTCAGCAATTCCACCAATTGCGTTACCTGCTTGTGCTCCCATCGCTGGATTACCTGCTTTAGTACCTAATACTCCACCTATGATAGTTCCTGCCGTTTTCGCTACTGGTGCCAAAAAGTTTGCAACAGGTTTAATAACCTTTTTATGAACCCAACCCGCAGCTTTCTTAATTCCATCCCATAATTTTTTAAAGAATCCTGCCGCCATTTCTGATTTAATATTAATTAAAAAAATATATTCCATCACTTATATTCTAATTTTTATTTAATGATAAATGAAACCGATTTTAAAAATAAATGAAACAGAGGAGGAAGAAATAAATGAAAGTGAAAATGTTCAACAAAAAATAAACGTTGTTAAACCAATTACTGAAATAAAAATTTTTTCATCTGTTGAAGAATTTAATGACTATTATGCTAATAATAAAAAATTATTTGAAGAATTGACAACATGTAAATTGAATAAAATGTTTAAAGTTGATGGATTCAAAATTTCAAAAATAAAAGGAGTGGTTAGTTTGAAATCTATTCCTCAATCAAGAATCACCTCATTAATGAAAATAGATGATTTAACAAAAAGAATAGAAGAGATTGAAGAAAGAATGAATCAAATAATTGATTTCATAAATTCAAATAATCATTAGCTTCTTAAAGTTCAATGTTGATTCTGAGACATGAATTTTTAAAGTTTATTTTTTAAAAAAAAATTTTATCTTTTATTTCATTATGGGCTGAGTGTAAATGTCTTACAATTTTGAAAATTTTTTAAATCTTAATTTATTCAAAAACGTGAGAATAAAAACCGTAAGAATCATACATTTTTTACTTCATATGTTAAAAAAAATGATACAAAATCGTTCAATATTGTATGAATTCTTACGTTTACAAAAAAAGTCACACAACCCGTCAACATATACTACTAAATTAATTGAAATTCCGATCAAAAAAAATTCACAAATTGGATCAAAAAAAATCGAATCTCAAGTTAAAAATAAAAAAATTTCTACATTTTTATCAAATTTATATTTTTTTTTCAAATCATGCGAATTGATTGGATAATTGCATATTTTATCCCATGCATCTAGAAGTATGTGTAATATTTTTGCTTTCATCAAGAAATTGTCGAATTTGATCTTAATTTTTTTGAAAAATATACTTTTAGAAAAAGAAATAGTGATTGAATAGCTGCCCATGCTGTAAAAGGGTTATTTTTACAAGTAAAAAAGTGTTATTTTTCGAGCAAGTCGAGGCTTTTTTACCATCTTATTTTTGAAAAATTTACGAAAAATTATATCTGAAAAAACGCTTCATTTTGATATCTTACAATGATAAAATACCAATGTTGCTGGGATATAATAGCTACACCTGGACATCTACTACATTAATGCGTATGACAGGTAAAGTTGATTTCAAAAGTATAGCCTGGAAAGATTACAATAAATCAACGATAATTCAAAAAAAATTCTTATAAGTTAACATAATAAAAATTTAATTTTTATATTGCTTGTATTATACTTAAGTATATAATATATTTAAATCTTAGAATGAAAATTCGGGACGCCCTAGCTATTCAATTTTCCCTTAGGACGCCCATAAACCTCTCAAAAATGTGATGTAAATATCACAATTTTGAGAAATTTACACTAGGACGCCTTAGGACGCCAACCCCCTTTTTTACCTATTGATTCAATTAGAATAAATGCTATGCATTTTATCAGAGTTCTTATAATGCATAAGGCCAACATTTAGCAATAATGTCCTTGTTGAAACGTACGAATGCAATTATGATTACAAATTAGTAATTAAACCTCTGAGGGATTTTATGAATATAGCCGCTTCATTAAAACTTAAGCATAATAATTTGAACTTTGAAAGTAAATTAAATCCAAATTAGGAAATGTTGTGCAGCTAATTGAACAATTAAGTGTTAAAATTGGTGAAATAAATAGTTTGAGGAGGAATTCGAAATCTTGAAGAGTCAATTCAAGTAGTGTCTTCAATTTTTGGCATTCAATTCATCAATAACAACTTTTTTTTGGACGAAAACATCCGAATTATATATCTAATTAGGAATAAACATGATTTTCTAATTTATATTTCTGATATAACATCATCATGCTCTCAATATTTTCAAAAAAATTGAGATTGGTTTGAAAAAATCATTTTTTTTTATCAATTCAAATCAATTTCTTTTTGGATAAGAAATATTTATCCATTAATTACACTGTTGAATTTAAAGATATCTTTCAAATTTGAGTATCATCTACAAGCTATCAATTTTTGAGAAGAATAATCGTCAACAGCACAATTTGTAATCGGATTGCTTCATCGTTCTTGCCATTTTTAATGTTTGCTGACGAATACGCCGAGCGCTTAAACAACGCTATCAAATTTGTCAAGAGCCAAATCACAGGCACACCAGAGGTCGGTGTTGTCCTTGGTTCTGGCCTTGGATCATACGGACAAGAGCTTGCTGAACCAATCACAATCCCATACAAGAACATCCCAGGTATGCTCGATACTACAGTCCCAGGTCACTCTGGATGCCTTATCTTCGGCAAGATTGGCGAGGTTAAGGTCCTTTGCCTCTCTGGCCGTTCTCATCAGTACGAAGGTCTCCATCCACACGAAATCCAATTCGCTATCCGTCTTCTTGGTGGCTGTGGCTGCAGACTTGTTATTCTTACAAACGCCGCTGGCACATGCGACGAATTATTAGAAGTTGGCGACCTTGCTCCAATGCTTGATCACCTTAACTTCACACACCGTGGTTACACAGAGGAACCACTCGAAATCAAGGACTTCTACCACCTTATTCAAAACGGAATGTACGATAAGGAAGCTCAGCAAGTCATCCACGACGTTGCCGTCGAGAGCAACCTCTCCACACGTGGCTGCAACTACACATACAACATGGGCCCAACATACGAAGCCCACGCTGAAGTTTGGGGCCAGAAGAAGCTCGGCTGCACAAACTTCGGTATGTCCACAGTTGCTGAAGTCATTGCCGCCAAGGAAATCGGCGTTCCAATTCTTGCTATGTCTTTCGTTACAAACAAAGCCGCCGGTATCACAGGCAAGCTACTTACACACGTTGAAGTCGCTGAAGCCGCAAAGAAGGGCGAAGAAGGCATGAAGAAGCTTGTTTCAACAACAATCATGAGACTCCAGCCAAAGCTCAAGGAGATCCCACCGATTGTCTTCAAGGGCGACAAGGGCCGCAAGATCACACGCGCAGAGCCATCAGCTTTCGTCACAGAAGCTGAAATCGAGGCCGCTGCTGCTCTCTTTGGCGAGACAAAGATCGACACTGCCATCGTCCTCGCTGGTACACACTCTGTCCCAGTCGAAGCTAAGGTCACAGTCTCTGTCTTAGACCTTCCAAAGTTCCCAGCCCTCCAGCACACACGCGCCCAGATCAAGATCGGCACACTCGCTGGCAAGAACGTCGCTGTTGTTGACGGAATCTACGACTACTGCGGTTTCGACCACTACGCCACATACTACCTTGTTAACCTCTTCGCCAAGCTCGGCGCTAAGGAGTACATCCAGACATTCGCTACTGGCTCATTCGGCGAACAAGGCGTTAAGTACATCAAGGATGTTATCCCACTCTTCGAACGCCCAATCGTTGTCCCACGCGCTATGCCACACCAGGGCATGGAAGGCACAGCCATCGTTGCTCCATACCACGGCCCAGAATTCTGGACACCAGCTGAAGGCAAGGCTATGACAGTTATTGGAGCTACACACGCCACACTTGGCCTTACAGTCGGTCTCGAGATCGCTGCTGCCCTCAAGATGAAGGTTGTCGGTATCATCGATGGCGCCTTCGATGCTCACCTCCTTGAAGGCACAACAATAGAGCAGATCGTCAAGGCTACAACAGCTGCTGCTCCAGAAGTTGCCAAGCTTGTTGAAGAATCCCTTGCTAAGGTTGAGAACTCTGGCGAGCTCAAGGCTTCATTCAAGGCTGGCGCTGAGAAGGGCATTGAGTGGAAGGATGCTCCATCCCACATCGTCAATAAGCAGGAATGCCCAGATCAGGTCAAGGCTATCGCTGATAAGCTCAAGGACGTTACTGCTGCCATCGTTGTCGAGTGCGACAAGTCCGCTCAGTACCAGGCTCTCGAGAAATTCTTCAACTCAGAAATTGAAATCGAGGGCAAGAAGCTCCACCTCGCTACAATCGAAGGCAAGGAAGTTTACGTCTCCCTCGCCGACCGCACACTTCTTCGTGCTTACGCTCAGAAGAAGATCCACGTCATCGGCCTCGGCTGCGTTGTCGCTACACCAAACAAGGCCAACGAGAAGCACGAAGTCATCCCCAACACAATCAAGGAAGGCCAGGTTGTTTGCGTCATTGACCACATGAACATTGTTGGCATTTCCCCACTTATGGGCTCCAACAAGTTCGGAACAAGATTCCCGGATCTTGCTCACATCTACCAGCCAGTTGAGGGACTTGAGAACGTTGTCGCTTTCAACGTTCCAAGCCTCAACGTTGCTACAGAAGCTTACGTCGCTGCTGCAGGCAAGATGGGCTGCGGCACTGTCAACCAGTTCGGCGCTGTCAACTCAACAATCGTCCGCCATTCTGAGGGTAAATACACTCACATCGCTATGGTTGTTAAATGCCCAATGTGCGCTTGGACCATCGATCCTTCAATCATTGCTAAGGCATTCTAAAGTGAACTTACTTCTATTTTGAAACAGTAAGGACTTATATTTATTAACAATTTACCATATGGAAAAAGTAGATTTTTTAAAAAATTTATTATATTCTCATTCCAAATCATATATTTTTTTTACATAGTAAAAAAAAGTGATAAAATTTGGTATCTTGGAATGAGATATCAAGTATCGAATAGTAGGAGTATAGGCTATGTAAAAGTAATTGTCGATGATTTTAAAAAGTATTATTTCGTAGAGAAGCAATTTAAAAGATTTCAACCTTTATTAAGCAACTTACTGAGATTGGCTGTTTGGACCTGTCTTGCGCTTGGCATCTGGGTTAACAGCGAGGAAGCGCTGGTTGTAGATCTTGCGCAGACGAGCGCGGCCGCGAACTTCCTTTGGCTTGTCCATCTTTGCGACCTTTGGTGTGTTAGAACGAACCTTGCCTGCCTGAGCGAGGGAACCGTGGACCTTACCCATGTTATTGAAAGGCCAGACCAAACAGTTGAGAGGAGGGCAAATTTACCCTTCATAAAATGGAAATGGCTTTAAAGCATAAAATTAAGATTCATAATTATTCAGAGATATGTTTTTTCTCAATAAAAATCGAAAATTTATCTAAACAATTGATAAATTTTCAAAAATCCAAGTATTGCATAGCAATGATTGAGCATTCCAAATGGAATTAATGGAAAACAAATATATTCAGCTATCCATTTTACTTCTAGATAAAATAAATGATCAAAAGGATATCTTAAAAGTTTATAGTTCTCAAAGCTTGTAATTTATTTTATTTGACAATGAAGCTTCAATACATATCTTTAATATTTTGATTTGATTTAATTTGCATTTTGAAATTTAGAATAATAAAAGACTTTCATTGGATATGGAAGGTTTTACGCAAATTCAAGGAAATAATCACCATACAATACATTGTTAATTCGATAATTTCATTAAATAAGATAATTCTACAAAAAAAGCTTGCTGGATCGATGCATGAGTCGAAAACATCCATTCTTGGATGAAACTAGTACAGGTGTTTGATAGAATCGTAAAGAAAGCACGAAATGATTGAAAAAAGATAATTGAAGTACGATTATTTTTGATTTAATTTTTTTTTAAGTTATGGCAACATCGAATTCCCTAGATGCATCTGGCCAGTTTATGTGGGATAGAGTAGCATATGCCTATGTTGATAGGGAACTCAAGCCAAATATTGAGCAATTTGATTTCTCAACAAATCATGTTAGCCAAAACACTGCAGGTCTTCTTTCTATGTTTCTTACGAACGAAGAATACTGCCTTACATCATTAAATCTTACACAATGCAGATTAACAGAAAGTGCATCATGCACACTCTTCCAATCACTCGCTAAATCTAAAATTAAAGAACTAACTCTCGATAAGAACTTAATGACAGCGAAATGCTGCGAAGAATTATCTAAAGCACTCACAAGTAACCTTAATATAGAATATTTATCAATGGAAGGCTGTGATATTTTAGCTGATTCTATGGTTACTCTAGTTAAAGCATTTCCAACAGCGAAGAACTTAAAAGTGGTTAGATTCGATAACAACTCAATGTTTGATAGAGGAGCTATAGCTCTTGCAGAAGCAATCAAAGAAACGAATATCACTTCTCTTTCAGTAGCAGACAATCAGATATGGAAGGACGGTATCTTAGCCCTATTACAGGCAATTACTGATCGCGGAATTATTGAAGAGCTTGATGTTTCGTATAATATTTTGGAATTACAAGCTCTTTCTCAATGCATTGAGAGAATTTCCACTCTTACTGCATTAAATATTAGTGGATGCAAGGTCGATGAGACATTAATTGAACTCTTTTTCCAAAGCATTCAAAGATCAAAGCTCCAGACAATTATAATCAACGGATTGAATACGAACAAATTACCAATTGCATGGCCACATGTTCAAGATACTGTTTGGAACTCAATTAATTTCAAAGATCTCATTGAAGCAATTCGTAACACAGAAACATTGACTGATGTCAGAATCGGTTTTCTTGAAAGCTACCAATTAGGAACTCTCATCGATACCCTCGAGCATCAACCAAGTAACGGCCAATTCAGCAAAAAACTAACTTTATCCATGTACGATTTCGGCCGAACTGGCAATTGCTGGGTCGCCACAATACCATATTTCGAACTACAAGCACCATGCGATGTTTTCAAGTGGGCTTCCAAACTTGGGTTAAATGTCGCAGTCAGAGACATGCCAAGGTTCATCAAAGCGTCAAAGTTTGATGGTGCTCCTGTCACGAAAGTAGATTTTTCAGGCTGCAACATCGATAACGACTCCCTGAAAACATTATTAGATGGTCTTCACCAAGCAGGCATTGAAGAGCTTGATCTCTCCGGAAATCCATTTGATGACAATGCTGTTGAAGCAATCATCTCATTCCTTGGAGATTCGCCTTTGTTCTCCCTCAAAATTGAAAAATCTAATTTGTCAGATTTCGGATTATCCAAATTGTTCTCATTCCTTCGCTCCCAGGATGGACAGTGCAATCCAATCAATATCAGTCTGTCATTCAACGGAGACACCAATGATGAACTCGCAACACACTCATGTTTCAATGAACTTGCAGAAGTAGTTGCACAGGAATCCAAGCTTGAGACAATTACAATGACTGGACCAATCACATCCATCGATGCCGGAAAAGTCATTGTTTCACTTAAGAATAACGAAAGAATCACTTCACTCAAGTTACTAGGAACAATTCCTGACAAATACAAAGGACCATCAGTTCCGCCAGTCGACTACAGAGTCATGGATGGATATATTCAGATGGCTAAGAACTTACACATCGTGTTAACTAACCCTGGTTCACATTGCAGACTTCACAATTTCGAATTCCCATTATTCGCTCAGAACTTCCTTTATAACGATCAGGTGTTGGAGTTCTGGAGTGAAGTGGAGTCCAAGCTCGATGAAAATGCTCGTTTGTGATTTTAGAAACTATAGAAATAAAATTGGATTTTTTTATTGTCTCTTTTAAATAATACATTATGCTTATTTTTAATACACTAATGAAACCTTCTTCACACTGCTGCAAGTATATAACAATCCATTGATTATTTCAGATAGAAGATAGAAAATATTTAGATCTGTTGCATTTTATACATTGTATTTCACTTTAACTAGAAATGCATTCACAAATGTAATTCGCATTTTCTTATTTATTGGTCTGTGAAAGAATCGTAAATACAATTTCGACAAGATAAATGGAATAATTAACATTTACACTATGTAAGTATGTGGTAATTATATCACAATACTCTCGCTCTTTGTTGTTAAAATATTGTTCATCGAAGATGATAAATATTGGTTATCAGCTAATAAATTTAGTAAATTCTTTCATACCTAATCGAAATACGACAAACGAAGCCTGATGGTGAATAATGTAAAATTCGTTATTCCAATAAATTGAGAAGTGTCACAAAAAAACAAAAAATGAAGTCAAATGATTGAATAACCAAAGACACTGCAGATATAGAAAGTCCTCTTGTTTGACTTGCAACTTTGTCATTCTCGCGCATTCATTACCATGCTTTGCTAAAATTATTTTGATAATTCTGAAATCTTCATTATAAATGAAACAGTTAAGAAATAGTATTCTAATGTATTTGATTATAATATAAAAATTCTTGTGAATTTTTTATCCGACCCGACAATTTATATTAATTGCAGATTAAGCTTATCAAAAAGGAGATATTCATTTTTCCTTAATAAGTTGGATCAGTAAAGATAAAAAATTTTTTTCATTTTTAAAAAGTCAAATTAATGGACTTATTTTACATTTTTTAGAATAGTCTTAGGGTAATTATGCAAAATCTATCTTCTCCGTTATGCCCATAATATTGAGTAGTTTACACTCGTTTTATAGAGAACGATAATAAAATAATGGAGCCAGTGCAATATCTCTATTCTCTGTGTTCCATTTTCACTAATCAAGATGCTACGCGAATTAATGATGCCGATGCAGAGCTCACGCAGCTCATTCAAGAGGAAAGCACGGTCTACAACTTAATCACAATTTTTCAACAAACCGATGACATGAAAATGAGAAATTTTGTTTCTACTATCCTCAGTCGATGCTTTAATAACGAAAAGTTTAATAATGGCGAAATTGTAGAGAGGTTACAACAATTCTTTTTTTCAAGTATTAGTCAAGAAACAAATTTTCAAATCAAAAAGAATCTTGCGTATTGCTGTTACGTTTTGTACGAGCACCTCCATAAGAAAGGTATAATTTGGGAACAATTTTTGCAATATTCTTGGGAACTTCTACAAAATCCTGACCAACTTGCGATTGCGTTCTATATATGGTCACAAACATTTTTAGATATGAAAGACCTTTCAAATAATCTTAGCAAACAAGACGTATTTGATTTAGCCGTTGAAAACATCACAAATCCTGATCAAAACATTCGAATTCAAGCAGCAACATTTATCGAAGTCAACGTTAGTAACGAAACAGAAATACATTTAGACCCGGTTCCATTCTGCAATTTAATGAATCAGGCAGTTCAATTTTGTATTTACCAAGTCCCAGAAATCAACAGAGAAGAAGTGTGCGCAATGTTTAAGGTACTTGACGAAATAGTTCAGTTCTCGAGATTCGATACGAATTGCCACATTCCTCTCGAATTTAGTTGGGAGATAATGCAGGACGAAAATTTAGACATTGACATTAGGATGTCTGCAGCCAATGTCATAAGATGCGGTGATGTTCCGTTCCTAGAAAGCAAAACAGTCGATCAATACCTTGAAATTTTAAGAATTTCGATAGAATTTACAGCCTTACTTACAAAACAGACAGAAGTATACAGCCGTCAATTTGAAATACTATACGAAGTAATTTGGGCCATTTCCGAGCTCGCACAAGATAATTTTGTTATTGACTACGTATTAGACTACATTCTTCAACTTAAGGAAGAACCAACAGTAGAAAACAGAATACTTGTATTATTCCTTATCGATGCCATTGCAGAGGGCAGCAGAGAGTACATTTACGCAAAATTGGCAAATATTATCACAGATATCAATTATTTTGGTGATTCCGATGATGATTTCGTTATTAAATACACCTGCCAAGTATTCGATAGCTTTATTGAGATTCTTCCGCTTGAATCCGGAATTGTTGTAAATCAAGTCTCAGAATACTTAGTTAACCATTTCCCACACGAAGGAACAATCCAAACATTGATAAATCTCTTCACAACAGTAATTCCAAGGCCAGCAAATTACATGGACATTGTAAATAATTTAATTGAATACGTTTCACAGGTTGAAACAACTTCTGATGTATCCAAGATATTAGACTGCATTTCAGCCTGTTTCTGTCATCCGACAGAGACAAATGAAGAAATTTTCCAACAATTTGCTCCAAATTTACTGAAATTTGTTGAAGATGACAGCGAAACAGTTGTTTCTGTATTGAACATGTTCACGCAACTCATCAGACTCGCTCCACAGTCAACAACACAAGACATAGAAACATTAATTCAACTAGCAAACGATACTCTTGAATCCGAAAACACGAAATACATGGCAAGTGCAATGAAGTTCTTGAGTGAGCTGTTTGCATTCCTCCCATTATCATTAGAACAGTACATGGACACTTTATTACCTGCGTTACTCGAATTAAAGGAACGTTACCCAATTCCTGAGATAAAGAACGAAGCTGAAGGTGACCCACAACTCAGACTATTCCATATGAACCTCCTTCAATGCTTTGGCCACATGGTTGCTGTATTTCCAGAAGCAATTTCTGATTACGCCAACGACATCCTCGCGTGGATGAGATCTGCCCTCGACAACATCAAGCGAATGACAATAGCTACTTGCGAGGCACTCAGTTCCGCTTGCGAAGGATTTGTCGTAATTCGAGAAGTTATTGAGATCAACATTCTCGAAGAAATCGGTATAGACGTAGTCAGACTCATTGCAAACCTCGATGATCATTCAGAGATTGTTGCATACCATAACTTGGCCGACAGATTGATAACGTTATTCCCAGAAGACTTGAATTCCGTAAAAGGAACAATTTTTGCCATCAAAATTTGCCAAGGATTGTTTGGAGAGATTTTCGAGTTCATGCTATTTGATTTGTCACAGCACCCTGACTACCCTATACAGATATCCCTCACAAACTTAGTCAAGAAGTTAATATACTGCCAATTCGCAGAAGATTCTCCTCTTGCGGAGAATTTCTCAAGAATTTTGAAGGGGTCAAAAACAAGTACTTCTTGGTTCCATTTCAACTTGTTGGAGCTCGCATCTCTTCTTGCATCATTGAGAGGTGACATGGGAATATTCTCCAGCGAGACACTGATTGTTACAACTGAAGTAGCATTGAATCATCCAAACTCAAGTCCACAGAAATTGATGCTTTTCTTGGCTTATTGTTGCAATTTGTTCAGATTAAATCCGGAAGAATTCGAAAATTCTGGAATTATTTATCCGGCAAGACTCGACCAGTTCTCCATCTTCTACCTGAAATATATAATGCCAATGCCTCCGGAAGTCAATATCGTGAGATTGGCCTTCTTCGCAAGTGTTGTTTTGATCAAAGGTTTCGATTATTTCCCAGAAGGATTCATTGATGCCGTAATTCAAAACAATTTAATTATTCCTCATTTGCCTCTTCCTGTTAATAACTTTGCTTGCGAAATAATCATTCCTTTCTTGCAGCTGATGATGGAGAAATATCCTGATGTTTTCACAGAGCATTTCGACATGTCAGCCTTGAACATGCTTTGTTCATTACCTTTCTTTTTCCACAGAGTTCCTGCAGAAACTGTTGCTTTTTGTGTCCAAAGAATTCAACAGATTTCTCAGGAGAATTTGTTGGCTATGCTTCACGGAAACCAGTATTTGTATATAAGACTTAATAGAAATATCGCTCGCTTAACTGCTTAGAATCATATTTTCTTTATTATATTTTTTGCTTTTATGTTATATTTTTTTTATGTAATTTTAATTATAATTTTTGTTCGATTAAATTTAAATATCATATTAAATGTCTTAAGCTTTTTCTTTTTTCTCTACTTAATTCATCCAAAATGCATTAAATTTATTGAAATATTGTTATCGAATTCAAGATATTCCTTGCAAAATTACGATGACTTTGATATTTTTACACGACCATTCGAGTGATTAAATCCCCTGGCTGTAGAACTAATATTCAAAGTGAAATTTCAAAAATTAAACGTTAGCTTATCGATAAGAAAAATGAAAATAAAATATTATAAACCACTATGGTCCTAAGGTACATTTGCACTAATAATTATCAAATGAACGATTATTTTTTGGTTGTTACATTTCGAAGATTTTTTTTCACATCCCTTTGATAAAAAAATGAGTTCTGCAGCTGATCAACAACAGCTTAATATACTCCAGAAGGCAATGGAGAAGCATATGAAGGTTGAGCAGATGGAAGAAGAGAACGACAAAATCAGACAACAAATACAAACCAGACAAGAAACTTTCGAAAGATTAAATCAGCTTTCACTTGCAGCTGCAACATTGTTAGGCTCAGTAGATAGCTCAGCTCCAGTTACAGAGATGTCTTCCGCAAAATGCCTTTCAAAACTCGAAGAATCTGATGCAGTCAATGGTGAAAACGATCATTTCGAAGATGATCAAGTTAAAATCATAGTCGGAAAATATATTAACCACTTACTTTCTAAACTTGTTGATTTCGCTGAGAGAAATCCAGAGCAAATCGATATTTTTGGAATGCAAGAAATCGAAGACGAGATGTCTCAACTTTACATATTTGGAGAAGATAAGAAGATTATTCCTACTACAAAGCCAACAGAAGGCTGGAAGCAAAGTGCAGCTGTTCATCATCAGCTCTTCGAAAAGCTTCATTCCTATATTGAAGATAATAAATAACTGTTATAATATTACATATGTTAAAACATTACAATTGTTTTCAAAATTCAAAAGGATTTTTTTATGAAAAAAATTTAAAAGTTTTTTTTAAAAAAAATGAGTAATGTTTTAATTAATAACAAAAGCAATATAATTCATTTATACTGATGGAAATCCAAACATATACAATAAACATTTATAGACAAAAATAAACAACAAATAAATATAAAATCACTCCTTTGGCTTCGATTGCTTGCCAAATAACTCATTAATCTTCTTCTCCTGAGCCTTAAAATCAAACAAATCCTTAATTTCATATAATTTCGCTTTGACATCGTATTTTTCGAAGTTCATTGCTTCCTTAGCAATTGCCGCCCAGTTCTTCATGCATTGGTGCTCAATTTCATAGCGTTTCCTGCGAGAATCATTTGTATTTTTATTTCTCATTTTGAGAAACGCCGTTCTATTGAGCTTTCCCATCTCAGCGAGTACCTGCGATGCCTTCTCGCGGATGGATTGCGACCAATGGAGCTCACTTAAACGCTTCACGTTGTCATACATCACAGTTACAGCGTGGCGAGAGTCATTTTCAACCCATTGGTCGAGCTTTGGCCTTAGCCATAGGAAAAGCGTGGCATTGATGATCCTGAGATGTGTTGAGAGCAAACAAATTGTTAATATAATAAAAGTTCGTTTGCTGACGTTCATCATTTGCTCTGGAGTCATCTTTTGGCATACATATATCAGGAACTCAATATGGGCTGACATAATGAGAGTATTGTCCGATTGCCAATGAGTTAGTAAATAATCGTAAAATTCATTAGCAATGAGCGGATCAGATGTGAACAATGATGTAAGGAGTTGCTGCAGGTGCTGTCCGAATAAGTAAATATGGGGAGATTTGATCAAAGGAAAGACGGCGTTTCGAATTAGTTTAAGAATCTCTGGAGTAAACGTTCTGTTGAGGCGGGTAAACATATGGGATGAGAAAACCAAAAGCGGAGGAACGCAGTATGGAGGTAACATTTTGTTTTGGTATTCTATCAAATGATCGTATGTCATTTGAAGAAGTATTGGTCTTTCCGCATTGTGGAAATCGTAGTAAGTACGTAAGAATGATAGGAGTTGAAGACGTTCGTTGTTATCTGGAATATCGATTAAATGAAAGATTTTCTTGATGAGTCTCATATTGAGGAGTGGAGATTCAGGAAACAACTGAGCGAAGCGATTTAATATTTGATAGCAGTAGAACAGATGATGCCATCCCGTTTCTATTACAACATTGACATAAGATTGAGAAATAAGAGGGTCTGGAAAGATCAGATCTTGATCGAATATGTTCTTTTTGATCATCTTGAATATTTTAACTTGAAGATCTTCGTTGAGTTTCTTAACCTCGTTTGGATTTTCGAAAAACTGAACAATCTCGCACAAAGAGCGTGATTTAATATCTCTATCAGCTGCCGTTGGACCATTGTCGTTAAAATCGTAAACATTTTTGCAAATCTCTAATTTTTGCTCTAATATCCTTCCAAATTGAGGATCTTTGACAGGAGGTAAAGGAGGAGGTTTGTCGTACTTTGATTCTCCTTTTGTGAAGTTTCTCTGGCATGTTAAGGTAATTGCGCCAGTTAATTCATTATCTAAAGTTGGCGAAGGTTTTGGCGTAGTTGGTCTCTGAGCATTTGCTAGAGGGATAATATGTAATATCTTTGGACCCATTTCTTTAATTTCAATTTTATCAGGAATTGCTTCTGGATATGATTTTGCGAAAAGAGCTGGATTATGAAAGCTATTAAGCCCATGAGGAGCTTGTCTAAGTGGAGGTAAACACGATTTTCTTATAGTTTGATCTTGAGACGATTGACTTCGAAGCGGTGGTAATAAAGATTTTTGCTTAAAAGCTTGAGCTGATCCCATAAAACTTTGGGGTTTAGCCATGGGCAATGGAAAATCATTTGGAGTATTATCGATACCGTCATTTACGCTTCTAGCATCATTATTGTCATCTAAATCCAAAGGAGCCAACTGCATATGCTTAAATGCATAATAATTGACTGATTTTCTAGTAGAAGAACTAGATGATCGACCAGACAAAGATGGATGTGTAGCGCCTAGTCCTATCATCTAATTTATTTTGAATTGTTACAAAGAACGCAACGAATTTTTTTTTGGTCGAAATTATGGAGTTATTTGCATTGTTAATTTACTAATGAAGCGTAAATTGATACACATATATAGAATATTGAACAATTTTCACAATATATTTTGTGTAAAGAAATTGAAATAATATTCAAAAGTCCTCTTTCAATTGTTCGTAGATATACGGAAAGGTACATTCACTATTTTTGACAAAATTTTAAATTTTCATGGGGTTGTAAATCTTATAATAACTAGATGAATAAGGAATGAATCCCAGTATAATGTGCATCATTATATTAAACACTATATGTAAGGCTAATGATTCTATTAACACTTATGAAGATCTATAGTATTTGAGCAGATAAATTTGATAATTTCCAAAACTCTTATATTTCAAAATTAAAGTGTGCGAATGCATTTAAATGAGAGCAAAAAGAGATTGATGCTGTTAAAACTAGGTGTTAATTTGCAATTATTTCGCATCACAAGAACTACCCAGTAAATTCGGCTATCTTTCTTTGCAATTATTCTCCATTATACCTATAATATAATGGTTAGGGTTTGAAGAAAAGTTACTAGAGAATTATTGACTTTTGAAATAATGCAGAATTTTACTTGAAGAAATCATTAATTTATGAGTTCCAAATTGCTAAGCATGACGAAGGATCATTAAATTTGCTACAATTAAATACATTTATTGCAGAATTAAGATTTTTGAAATTAAAAGTTTGAAATATTGCCTTTTTGAATAAAAATTTAAATTTTATTATATAATCATGATAATATCTTATAGAAATTAAAAGAAAATATTTTAAACCATTCAAATATTTTGAATGTCTTATCAATTTAAAATATTAAAAGATAGCTTGATTTTATCATCATTAGTTGTTATCAAAGTTTTCTTCTTTTGATGAACAACAGTAAATGATTTGTTAATAGCTTGTCTTCCTTTTTTGCACCAAAATCAAAATTCTCACCCGATCAGTAATCGAAAATTTTGTAGCATACGATTATTTTCCATTGAAAAATTATCACTAAAAAACTTTAAAAAATTAACTTTTATTCTTAATTTCATGTATGAAGGAGGTAGGAAATGACTTTAAGATTGACATCCTATTCATGGCTAAAGTTTTAGGAACTTTGAAGCCTAATTTGATATTGAAATTTTGGAAGATCAATGAATATGGGGATAAAAGTTGCATATCCTTGGACATTAAGAGGACATGTTATGAGAGTGGATAGCGTTCGACGATTCACTGAAAAAGTTACTCCTCGAAAAGACTATCTAAAGCCATCAAGTTTTTTGAATATTTTCTATCGTCTTTTTATTTTTAGTAAATTAGGATGCTCATTAAGGGTGCGCCCGGGAGGATCATGTAAACTTCAGAATTTAGAACCGTATTTTTTAAGGTAGGAAAACTCTAAAAATATCAAAAAATACAACTTGGCTCCATAATAATTCTGTCATGGTGGCTGTTTGTATCCCCTAGTATTTTCCTCTTGAATCTCTTTTTCTGTCGAAATTAAATTCAAATCTCAGAAGTAGAAGTGAATAATCGACTTATTACTGCTATTATACGAATAAATAAATTCATTATATTATTTTTATTTACATAATATCTGTTTGAAGTCCATAATTCTATAAATTTTTCTTCAAAAACATTACAATCTTGATAGTTTTGATACTGTTTAATAGGTTTTTGGCACCTTATTTAGTATTTACTACATATAGAGTCGATCTAAACTTAATTTTCGGAAATTTAAAATATTTATTATAAGTAAAATCTGATTTGAAATTTATGTTTAACTACTCATATCTTGCATTATCCTGAGTAGCTTTTGTAAAAATTCATCAAAAAAAATTTTAACGTGCTTTAATTTTTATTTTTTAAAATAATGCATATTATTATATAACTAGCATATTTACAAATTTTAGTGCTTTCAAAAATTTAATCCTCCTCCTCAAATAAACGTACATCCAGGTGGCCTGTTTTTTGCAAAAAATAAAATTTCATTTTTTATGCTTAAAAAGTCAGAATTTTTATTTGCTTCTGGGATATATGATGGCTATATCAGATGCCCATTCTTTTTGATACTCAACATTAAACATAAAACTTAGCCGTTAAGGCTCTTCTGAAGATATTTTTTTTTCCGAAAAATTTTCGAAAAAAATCAAAAAATTTAAAAATCCCCGAATCTGCAGGGATTTTAAAAAATTCTTTTTAGTAAAACTTAAGGATATTGTATCAGATATATTGGTATGGGCAAATTCAATTTTAATCCAATATTCATCGAGATATTAAGTTAACGAAGCTTTCAAAATTGAGAGGGTAATCCTCCTCCTCTCAAATAAACGTACATGCGGGTGCACCCTTAAACAGTATGATTAAATATACAAAAATTTTTAATTTATTTTTCAAGGGAAAATAATCGTACGCTACAAAATTCTTTCGATTCATCATTCAATTGAGAATGATAATTTTGTAGCATATTTAGAAAAATGCTCGGTCGCTGGCGCTCCCTTCGCATTTTTCTAAAAAACGCTACAAAATTATTAAGTTATGATGCTAATCTTGCACTCAATTTTGAAACTCTCTGATTTACAAATAAGCATTCCTTTGGAAAAGCAGTCCTATTATGATTCAAGATATTTTAAAGCCCCCATTTCATACAATGCGCAGATATATTCGAAATTGCAAGAACTCTCAAGAAAAATGCAACAGCAAAGAAGATTCCATAGTTTCTAGCATCAAAAATTTACAACCTTAATACAACAGTTAAAGAGAAGCTCGAAAAGAAAATATTTAACCATAAAGCCGGAAACCATTCGATATATACTATTAGATCTAATAAAAAGTTAATTATAACATATTTTACATGCTATTTGTTGACTCTGTTCCATTATATTACCATATATATCTTTTTGAAATCTAAAATATTTTTACGATTTTAACCATGTGTTGTTGAAACCATATATCAATCTTAGCTAAAGTATAGTTTATGAGTTTGTCACCATCTAACGTATGAATTTTCAAAAATGTCAAATATGTTCATTTTTTCTGTATATTCAGCCATAATTTCACGTAGTTATACTATTCAACTATTATTTAATATTTTTAACGATTTAAATATATGATGAGATGCTTAGTTCTCCCGGAAATCGATTTTTAATCGCAATTTTAACTTTCCAAAAAAAATTCAAAAATAAAAATCCCTCTCAATTTTCTAAGTTTTCTAACTCGCCAAATCTCTAGCCAAATTTTTTTGGCCCGTATAAATATTGTTAGGCACTATATAGGGATGCTATTTATTCTATTTTCATCCCATTTTACTGTTATCGCCTAGTGAATGTACCTTTATATACGGAAATTACCCTTACGAAAACATTAAGCATGTTAATAAATTATGCACAAACAATGTTGAAATTTTTGAACGCAGTTTAGAAGAGGATCGGAATTGTATTGTAACTATATATGGAATCAATTTTTAAAATTAATTTGGGATGATGATTTTTTCATTTTGTGTTTAATTTATTTTCCTAAAATTTACTTAATTTCTCTCAAATTTGAGAAGGTCACGGAAAATCAAATAAATTTATACAAGGTTCTGAGTTACACTGGAAGAAGGATAGAATGTGTAAAATCAAGTAACTCTCCAAAATATTGCATTTGGCTCATTTGTTAGATGATTTTATTTCCATTTGAAATTTAATTATAGGTTATTTGCTTAATTGCTCATTCATATTCCTTATATGTGCTGTGCTTAATTAAATTTTATAACCATTGTTAACGATTTAACAGTTAAATGTTTTTTGATTTTATGAATTAAACTATTTGTGTTCACTCAATCCTCACAGCATTCAAGCTGAATCTCATCACAAACAGATTAACAAAAGAGTAAAATAAAAAGAATTTTCAAAACAGGATCTATATTATTGACAACCAAGTGAGGTTCAACAACTTTAGCTTATGGTCTATCAAAAGGCACCTAAAATGTTTAGTTTAAAAAAATTCAATATTTCCATAATAAATTTCAATCAGGTATTAAAGACAATCGTTTCAATTTTTATAGTTAGTAGCTAAATATTTAGATAAGGCTTGCATTGAAAACCTTTATCTTTATAGTTATCCAAAATTCGAGTTGTTATGGATATCAAATTCAAGCAATAGAGAATATCAAGGCCATTTTATACTTTTCAATGTATATCTAGATTTCTCTTGCCTGTTGAATATAGCCCAATTCGCAATTTGATGGGTTGGTAATTAACATTTCAATGATTTTGCATTTAATATATGGTATATTTATTCATACAACTAACAAACAAATAAAAGATCAGTCAAAAGTAAATGAATTTTTCTGAAAATTCAAATTATTTTGAGTCGCACTTTGAACTCTTTCTTGAATCTCCTGTGCCTTTCTTAAGCAATCTTCCGAGCTTTCGCAGAGTTTTCTTGCTTCCTCTGTCGGTAATGAAGAAATTTGTTTCAAAACTTTTTCAATTCTATCAAATCGTTTTACAAGATTTTCAAGATAAAGTGCTTGAACTTCCTTCTCTTGAATACTATGACATAATTCAGTGTATTGTTTGTGTTTATGAATGATTTGTTGGCGTAAATCTTCAATTTGGTCATTTAAGTCTTTATTAGTTGTTTTAATAGAAGGTATGTCTGCAATTGAAGCAATGCTATCTGATGTTGCTGAGTTTTCTGTAAAATTATTTGTGACTACAGAAGCCAAGTCGATTGAAAGTGGAATATTAAATATATTTCGGAGAAGATACATTTCAAATAGATCTGCATTGACTGCCAGCGAATTTGAAATTTCCCTTGTAATTTTTGCACGAATTTCATCAATTTCGCTTTGAGAAAATTTGCTTGCTTTGAGATGTTCTGAAAAAGAAACAAGAGCATCGTTGATGTATTGTGTTACAGCACTGATTGTATCATCAATTAAATCACAAGGATCAAACTGAAAGAATGACTTCACTCTTGATGAGGAAGAAACAGTAACATACTTTGACTTTTCTCCATTTTGTTCTTCTTGCATTTCTTCTTCTTCTTGATGGAAACGAGATTGCGACATGTTTATAAAATATTTTAAACGGTTACTTTTTTTTTCTCAGCCTGATATAAGTTGAATCATAGAAAAACTCCAGCAAAGAACATAATATATCATAAAATATGTGTTAATTTACATATGAATTATTGATAATACGCTAGTTGGATAGCTCTTTGCATATCCTTTCGAAATCATCCTTTAAAATTGCAAATATTAATTGATCATTGCACTGCGTGCTGTCAATTTGCCACTCTATAATAACCAAAAATCTTTATTCTTAATTCATACCATAAATTGCTCGATAATAACTCATTTCAGCAAGAAAAGAAGGAATGCATGATGTTTAAATTCTTATCAAATAGATAATATGATACAATAGCTTATCAAATATTCATTTTTTCTATTTTGATAAAATCAAAATCAAAAGATAAAGTTAATTAACTAATTAAAGTAAGAAAACTGATTATAATTTAAGTGGATAAATTTTGATATTTTATAATTTTTTTGACAAAAAATAATTTATAAATTTAAATCGCGTTAATAGTAATACATCTAGTTAAACCTTTGTAGACATTTCTCATTGCATCATAAAGAGATTCCTGGGAGAGCGGCTGCGTTCTTCCCTTACCTATGGCAATTGTAAGAATCGCGTCGTTCTTCTGAAGTATTTCGTCAACTTTCGCCAAGACGTCATCGAGTTTTGTTGCTGTTGATATTCTCATTATCTTAGACGTTCTCATGTTATCATCGAACACCTTTACAAGGAATGTCATTCCTTCCGGTGGATCGCTGTTTCCTGTGAGGAGGTTCTCTAGTTTTGCGACTTTTCCGCTGAGTTCGTTGTTCTCGTAACTCTTCTGCCAGAGCTTGCTCGACTTGATCTTTGTTGCGTTCTGTTCGAAAATGTTGAGTGAGCTGACGTCGATGCCGAGTTCTCTGTAGAATTCTGACATGACGAACTTCTCTCCCTTTGCAGTGAAATTCTTTCTTGCCTCGTCGTAGTTTGCGGAATCGTTTGATGCATTTGCAAGTGGGGATGCTCTTATGTTTGTCATCTCTTCCTTCGACTTCTGGCGGCGGAGGTTGATTCTTGAGTTCGCTATGTCTGCAGCGGTGATTCCGACTGGAGAAGGAACAGAAATGTTTGGAACTGATCCGCGTGTCTTCTTGTCTACTGTTGCGAGACCGTCCTTCTTCTCTCCTGCCTGTTCGCTTGGTGGCTGCTCGCGTGGCTTTAGATTCTCTACCTTTGACTTATCCTTCTTTGCGTCTTTGTCCTTCTTTGGATCTTTCTCTTTCTCCTTGTCCTTCTTGCTGTCCTTTGCGACCTTCGCTTCCTTCGACACGACAGTCTTCTTCGTAGTTGTCGCTGGAGGTGGTGGAGGGGGTGCTGGAGGCATGCCTGGTGACTGTGTTGGCTGGAGTCCTCCGCCTCCTGATCTGTTGACGTTTGTGTTCGATCTCCTTGACTGTGCTCCTGCGATGTCAATTGGGTTCAGTTTCGGTGCTGGTGACTCTCTCGCCTTCTTCGGGATGAAGCCAGCGAATGGAGTTGCCTGCATTCCAGAGAACGGTGTTGCCTGGAGACCGGATATTGTGTGTCTGCTGCTTGGCTGTGTTGCGGAGATTGTGTTGGAGCTGACATTTAGTTCAGGAGATTTTGTGACGTCGTCGAGAGATCCAGGTTGAACAGAAGGTGGTGGCGGAACTTGCAAGTTAACTGACTGTGCCTTGGAAACAAGTGTTGATGGGTCAACTGACTGTGCCTTGGAAACAAGTGTTGATGGGTCAACTGACTGTGCGCGGTGTGCTCTTCCTGCAGCGACTGCCTGTATCATCTCCTTCTCCCAGTAGTTCTCTACTGTCTGCGGTGCCATCTTTGACATGATTGGCATTGCTTCGTCGCATTCGCAGATCCAGGCAGATGGATATGATCTGTGTGAGACTCTCTCTGTACCACCGTATATCATGAACCTGTGTGAATCGATGGCGATACTTGAATGCTTGCAGAGATTTGGTGGAATGTTTCCGAAATGCTCAACTTCCACTTTCAACCAGTGCTTTGTATCGATGACAACAATGTCCTCGGACTGAGAGTCTGCGGCACCACCGGAAACAAACAGCCAACGGTCGGCAATGACTGATGCGCGGCAATCGTGACGAGCAGAGACGGATGCTTTGGATCGCTTGCTCCATGTCATGTTCAGCATGTCGAGAACCCATATGTCGTCGAATGTCTGCTGCTTTGGACCACGACCACCGATGATGGCCATTTCGGATTTGCCGATAAGAACTGCAGCGTGGTTGTAGCGAGGTGGTGGGGAGTTTGGAAGCTCACCGAGCTCACGGAACTCGTTGTTGTGAGGATCGTAGTATGAAACGCAGTTGGATATTGTTGTATCTTTATCGTTCATCTTGTTTGTAACTTTGCCACCGAAGAAGTAGAGCTTAGAGTCGTAAACAACGCATGTATGGCCGAAACGTGGTGATGGCTTTCCATTTGCTGGGACAATTTCAGTCCAAGTTCTCTTTGCCTGGTTGTAGCACCAGATATCGCTGTAGACTTTGTTAGAGTTGTTACCGAATGCAACGTAAAGGTTTTCTCTGAGAGCTGTGATAGAATGAGATTCGCGAGGAGGAACTTGAGCGTTTTCGATACTCCAAATGGAGTCTGCGATGTTGTATCTGATGATTGTTGAGGTCGTGGAGCGCGATTCGTTTGTACCACCGAAATAATAGACAAAACCAGAAGAAACGCAACCATCGTGAGAAACACGTTCTGCGACTGTTTCGCTGAGTTCTACGTCTGTCCACTTGACAGCTGGCTTCTCTGACTTGTATTCTCTGAAGATTTCTGACAAAAGGTTATGATATTGGTCCAACCAAGTCATTTTCTCCGAAATATCGTTGAAATCGATCTGGTAAGCTTCGTCATCATCAACAACATATATTGATGTAAGTACTGGCTTGCAGTTAGCGAATTTGAACTTGGACGGTTCGAATTGGAGGAGTGGTGTATTAATCTTCTTCTTAGTAATAGCGAGCATGACCATGTTATTGAAGAGGTAGAGTACGCCAGGTCCTGTCTTCTTTGTACTGACGATACGGACAACGGCCTGTTCAATAATCTCACGGCCATGGTCCATGATGATCGTTCCAGGTGGCATTGTATTCTGGATATCCTGCATAGCCTGTATGCTGATGATCTTGTGGGAAAGCTGATCGATATTTTTGTTGACTTCGTTCAGCTTCTGCATTGTCATAGAGATGTAGTGCTTTTCTGGGTGGAAGCTTGGAGTGCTCTTGTCAAGCTCTCTGAAAAGCAACGGATACCTTGGATATCTCTGAACAGGAGTAATATAATAGGACATGAAGTTTCTTCCGTTGTGAAGTGGCATATTAGCTTCTATTTCGGAAATCTGTTTATCTACTGAACGAACCATTCTCTTCTTCTTTAACATATCATCTATTGGCTTATAAGCTGAAACGAAAACCTTAGCCTTGGTAAAATTTTGTAGATGCTTCAAGAAGACGTAAGACATTTCGGCAGTAAAGCCTGGCTTGATCTTTTTGAGATCTTCCAAGAAAGCTGAATGTACTTGGTAAATTGTTTTTATTTCGCGGAAAAGCGAATGAATTTCGCCTTCTTGAAATGCTGTGCTCTTACGAAATTCTGGTTCCCAGTATTCGAGAAGCATTTTAAGGTCGTTGTTGTAAGTTTCTTCAGTTGAAATAATTTCTGCTGTAATGTGGCCACGTGCGCCGATTTTGCGCTTGCCGGCATCTCCCAAAACAACGTTTAATTTTATGTGTTCTGAACGGCATTGCTGCAATATTGGCTCCGCTGGCTCGCTCATTTCTAATTGACGGTCGCCAATTGAAAGTTTCTCTTCGGTGAAATCATAACCGAAACAAGCCTTGCATGCAAGGAAAATATTCTGAACAGTTAGGGTATTAAGTTCGTTTGTTTCAATAGAGACGAGCATTAAGGGCATTTGGTCCTTTAATTGGGTTGAAATTTCAACTTCAATCCAGAAGTAGTTCTTGTCCGATTCAGGAATAACTTTTAGATAGTATTCTGGTGCTGGATAATCTTCCAAATCGTCATGAAGAATAAGCTCTTCATGCATCTTGAGAGGAATATCCTCTAGCTTTAAGACTTCTGTATAAAATGGACATCTATACGCAAGTAAACAACCTTGATGATTTACAGCATTTAAGATTTCCGAACATGACTTGTCCATATAACTATCTGCGGGCAAAACAATGTTCGGTGATGTCCCATGAATAACGCAAAGGGACATGTAATCTGAAATTGTTAGAAAAACCGTCGTCACTTCAAAAATTTCAAGCTCATTACAATTTCATATGAGGTGGAAAGGTATGCTAATTAAAATGCGAATTTACAGGGTATTGGATCGGAAGGCCATTTCCTAAAGATGAAAACCTAAAAATAAGTTCTTTGGATTTCCCCTCCACTCGATGAAAAAAAAATTTTTTTTTCAACGTGAAACCGCTCTAATCTAAAATGATGAAATCGATGTTATCTTGATATTTAGAAATCGTTTATTAAATTTGAATCACTGTCAAAATTATCAGAATGTCGAAGATATCCGGAAAATCCTAATAACTCAGTGAGGTATCGAAATAGATTGCTCTAACAAATTAAAATATTAATAAATCTAATCAAGTTATTGATTATCATTTTTTTTCAATGATTCGATCATGAAAATATTCCAGCAAATTACTTCACTGAATCCCAAAATGTGATAATAATGCATTTATGATAAGCCAAATTTATCACACTCCTTACGACTGTACTTTTCTGATCTATCAATGCTCTCTTTTATGCCTTTCTAATTGATAATATCTTAATATATTCTTGGATTCTGAATCATTGAATCTGAAGATTACCCATTCATCTTTTAGGAAATTAAATGCATTGTCATAAAATAGAGCAATAAAGTGCTGAAAAGCGTAAGTATTTTGTAGAATAAAAAATAAAACATTTACTTGATAAAACAAATTAAAACTTATATCCGAGATGCTGAAGTTTCAGCAAAACATGCTTAGAATACTGTATGCCTTCTAACTTTTGGTAGTTGTCAAAGACGACATTGTATATTGCTGTTTGCTGTTCTTCAGTACCAAACTCTATAATACGTTGGATAACATAATTTCCAAATTGATCTTCAACCATTGTAGAAATACGAGTTGCGTTGAAGTCAGGTGCACTTCCGATGATTTCAGGGAAAATTTCCATTCTTTCTTCTTCAGATGCGCCACGAATGCATTTTTCTATAACATTGGATGCAAACTTGTGTAGTGAAAATTGGTAAAATCTGCCTTTAAAGGCTTTTAAGAGATTAGAGATGTGCTCATGCTTATTAGATGCCAAGATATATTGAACAACGTAGTTTCCATATTGATTCGTAGCAAGTTCGACAGCATTGCGCATAACTTCTGCAACAATCGATTCTAGTTGCTCTATTTTATATTGATCGAACAGCCTTTGAACAATTCTGCATCCACAGTTATCAATTGCCAAAGGCACAACGCTTGGTAAAATCGCATCAATAATGACATTGAGTTTAGATGGTAGTGACATTACAAAACGTTGGACAATATGATTTCCATTTTGAGAGAGACATAAACTCATTAAGTTAGGTTTCAGAGCATTGAAAAGCTTCTCAATATTTTCTTTTTGAGTAGTTTCGATAAATCTCTGTAAAACTCTGCATGCAATAGAGTGGTCGACAATATTATTCAAGTCTGATAAGAAAAACTTAAGGAATTTCTGTTGTTGTTCCTCTGTAGCTGTTTCGCAAAGTTTTTGAATAACGAAGTTTGCAGATTGGTCGAAAACGAGTTCATTCAAACTTGGATAAAGAGAATTAAATATAATGTCCAATTCCTGCTTTGAACACTCGGTCATTTTCTTCTGTAATGATCTGCTTTTCATAGGATCTCTTGCTTGCATAACATACGATCTTTGCTGTTGTTGTTGAGGTGACACAAAATTATTATCCGGAATAAGAGGCGTATCAAGTTTTGGAGCGAATGAATCTTCTGAAAATATCTTTTCACCAGTTGCTGCTTCCCATAATTTAAAACTGATCAAATAAACTGAATTATTCATTATAATCTCTGGGGCATTGATAACTGGCCTCCTAAATTGGTTTGGTACCGGAGAGAGGCTTCTACCAAGCGGAGGCTTGTTATCCATGCTTTGGGATCGCAACATTTATTTAGGGGGATTCAAGACCCTTTATATATAGTCAAAATTAATTTCATTGGTTTATTTAATGTATAATTGTATTTAGATTCTTATTTTGATAATTTTTTATTTTTTCGATTCAATTTAACGTTCACTATTCAAAAGCTTATCTATTCAAAATCTGAAGATTTGGATAAATCATGAAATATCGTTGATAATGCATTACTCTTTATAATTCTTCACTCTATATGCAGTAAAACGCCACTAAAGCCTTTAAAAACATTCATTTCTGTTCTATTTTTTAGAAATCGTCGAAAACTAATTCTAAGATAAGGATTCATTTCAAGAAAATGCTATAAATTATAGTTTAAAACTATCCATATAAAATTATATGAGGAAACATCAGAATTGCATCAATTTCTTTATGAATTGTTTGTTGATATCTTTATTCGAAGCATTTAGACGAATGCTTCGTGGGTACTTCAGTGTTAGCTCATTGGAGGTTATTTCGTGTTAAAATTGATTGATTGTAATAAAACCTTCTTTCTCTTGATAATTTTTATTTTCTTTTTATTTTGTAAATCTCCATTATTCATGTCAGATCGATCGGGCTCTGGAAATAGAGGGCCTTCATGGAGAAGAGAAAGGCATCGTGAGTCTAGACGAGATTATTATGATTATGATGACTATGAAGAACATCGTAAATATGATTATTTACCTAGACGTAATTCTGATTATAATTCAGTACCTAGACATTCACATTTACCATCAGATATGGAAAAATCACCTTCAAATGCATTTAAATCATTTAAAAAATATCTTGATAAAATTATATTTAAAGAGTTGAAAGAGTCAGAATTAACAATTGCTGATAAACCTCTTAGATTACTTGAAAAACATATATACAACGATATTTTAGATGCATTTACACAGATATGTCAATATTCCCGTCACAGACAAGATGTCAATATCGATAAATCTAAGACGTTAGTTTCTTATAACCCGAAAGTACCCCTATATCAATTACAATTTGAACACAATATGAAAGCATCTGTATATCCAAATCTTTTTGAATGGTCAGACTTAATACAGATGCACAACATTCATAGTGTTCAGAAATTACTTGAAGTCCAACTTGATAGAGATCAGCTTACTCAAATAAAAATTGATTCAATCCAAAATGTTCTTCAACATTTCTCTTCTATTCCTGCTGGATACATTGTTAATCATAGTGATATAAATATGCTTAACAAAGAACTAGAGAAAGCAAAAAGAACAAAAAGCGAAAGTCAAACATCAAGCTCCACAACCTCTGCGAGATCAAGTCAGTTATCTAATCAAAGGCAACTCAAAAATTCTGATAGGAGCCAGACAATTTGTATTACTCCACAAGATATTTTTACATTTCTTCAATTATCTCCAAGATTTAAGTTCCTTTATCAACAGATGATGTACAATTATCAGGTGAATCAATAGATCCAAATTGACTAATTTGTTACATTATTATAGTTAATTAATATCATTTGCTGGTAACTTTGATTATTATTCATATGTTAATTACGATTAATGCTTCGTTGTTTGATTGAAATTCTTTTGAGCGTTGTTTGAAAAAAAATTAAGCTTGTTCATTTTGATGAACTTAATATAATAATACTTCATCCTATTGAAAGCGAAATCTAGGCAAAGCATCGTTAAATTTATAGAATTTTCAAAAACAATTATTATTACATAAAATTCGATTAGGAATGAAAACAGATTCATATTTCGTGTGACTGATTGTTAGATTGTTATTAAATTGAATTGTTAAACATGTTTATTTTATATAATCATATTCTTTTTTGAATATTTATCAAATTACTGTTTACAAACTACTTGTCCATCTACTATTATTCTTATCTCAACATGGGATAAGATATTTACTTTATAACTGATCAAATGACTTTGATATGGGGAATGGTCAGAGACCAAGAGTATGAAATTATGCTCTAAATCCTGCTATTGATTTGAAAATTCAATATGAGATCTTGCATTAAATTTCTTATCGATATCCAATAAAAATTATTCCTGCAAGTAGCTGATGAAAACTTGAAGAACTAAATGTGCAAAGCACCTAGTAAGTTTTTTTAATTAGAATTTCAAAAGTTTGAAAAAAAACTGTAGAATAAAAAATTCACTTTTTTTACAGTGTCAATAATGTATCAAAAAACCCATACCTATTAGATCATACACGGCAGCAGCCTTCTTCATTGCCTCCTTGTGGCTGTGAAATTGCATATTGGATAGCTGTATCAAAAACATCTTTAACGCCGTCGGCACGTAACGCTGAGCATTCAACGTATCCGATTGCATTGATAGCTTTGGCCTTCTCTGTGCCTTGCTCTGGTGTAAGTGGTTTGCCACGTTTCAATGATTCTGGATCTTGGCGCAAATCTGTCTTGGTTCCAACCAATAAAATTTTTGGATCTTTAACGAACTGTGATAATTCTGGTAACCAAATATTTTCGATATTGTCGAAAGAGGCTTTATCAACGACTGAAAAGCATAATAAAAACACACTAGTATTTGCGTATCATAAAGTTCTAAGGTTTTCTAATTCTTCTTGACCAGCTGTATCCCATAACTGTACATTTACAACTTGATCTTCAACCTTAACTTTAGCTGTGTAGTTATCGAAAACAGTTGGGATGTATGTCTTCGGGAATTCACCTTTAGAATAAACGACAAGGAGGCATGTCTTTCCGACAGCACCATCGCCTACAACAACAAGCTTGGTTCCTGAAGCAGACATTTAGAATTAAAAGTAACCGCTTGAACTTTTTCTTAAGGTCTAATAAAAGTGACAATTTAATGTTTTCATTTTTTTCGTAATTACATCAAGACTTGTCCCGGCTCGTGTACAGGTATGCTTAAATAAAGCGTAGGATAAATATCTTTCTTATTATTCTTTGCTTTTTGAGTCTCTGGAATTGTTTTCAGAGGCGGAATGGATTTCTGAGGAAAAGCGTGAAATTGATTAGTTTCAGTCTGCATATTCATTTTAGATCAAACAAATTAAAATATTTTTCGAGATCGATTTTGAAAAAAAAATCATTTGATTTTTCATTCGGAATAAAATAAAATTTATGTTTCTCATTGATGATATAGCTAATTTTTTGTATTTTGGAGCCAATTAATTAAAGTTCGAATTTTTTATTGTCATGTGAATTGCCGAACTCTACTGAATATCGAACCATATAATAGTGATGAAAAGAAAATAAAGAGACTGTAATACATTGAAACGAATTCAATTTTTGAAGAAAAATAAAATTTGGGAAATTTCACAGAGTACTTTTAGAATTCTTTGAGTTATATAAAAATATTATAAAGTAGTCATAATGACATTTTAATGATTAAAATAGTTTGAATAAAAAAATTTTATGATCAAGCAATTTTCAAATAAATAAGTATCTAATGTGTATTGCTCAAATTAATAATGTATATGGCATATATTTATATGGATTAGAGAAATTTCAAAAAATAATTAAATCGTAAAATAAGAAGATAAGTACAATAAGAATTTAATAACGATTAATTTGAGATAATAGTAAAAGTAATAATTATTTGTATTTGAAATAGGAAATAAAAATATATATACGTAAAGGAGTAAAACATCACTTGTGAAGATTGTTTTAATAGTGTAAAGATGAAACCATGTTTGATGGTCAGTCATTGGAAGATGATTTTTTTTTGAAAAAAAAATCAAACGAGATGCTATGGGCAATAATTTGGTAATGAATTTAATTGATTACTATAAGCTATGATTAATGATAGTATGTCTCACAAGAATCGGTAAAAGCTAAGACGATTTTGTGAATATAAAAAGTTATCGGTTTGATCTCAAAAACGGAATTTATTTTTAAGTCACCTCTATTAAAAAATTGAAAAAGAATTTTACATCTAATTCAATTATCTTTCAATCATATGACAAATTGAAAAAAAGTAATTGCCTACGACTGGAGTTGAACCGGCGACCTTGCGCTTACAAGGCGCACGCAATAATCACTATGCTACGCAGGCTGTACATTTAAAAAAAATTAATTTATACTACATGATTAAAAGTCTAATAAGAAAGTAATTGAAATGAGTCAAAATATTTATTTGATGACTGAAAAGGTTGATGTTTGGCGAATGATTCGTATGTTAACTTCAGATAAAGGAGATGTCGAAGTACTAAATGAGAAAAATCTTAAAAAACTAGTTCAACAACTCCGTTCTGATAATTCTCAATATCAAAGCTTTTATCAATTTTTGGATAAACGTGCTGAAAGCTCTTCATCTCAAACCAGATATCTTACCCTTCAATTAACAAATTACTTTTTTATCAGATCAGCTCATTTTCGTCATGAAGTTTGCAATTCATATTTATTCGGATTTTTACAAAAGTTTTATGATAAATTACCATCTCCAAAGAAGTTTGCAGAAAAGATAGAACATTATTTTCCTATTATTATTCAAATTTGGAGCGAAGATTATAAACATATCTACCCACAACTTAGTTACCTACCACAACAGTTTCCTTCCAATAAATCAGTAAAAATGACACGCCAAGAAAGAATAAACCTAACGAATGCTAAATTGTTATCACAAAACTTTAAAAAAGAATACGAGCCATTCTTAAATAAGATAGAAAATCTCATTAAACTACTCAGTCCTCCAGATGCAGATCAATTTCCTCCATCTGATGAATATTTTTCTTTAGTAAAAGAAAATTTGATGATTGAGCGAAAACCAATGGAAAGATGCCTAGCTGATCTTAGTTGGGTAACAACTATTACAAAAAGAGCAGCAGGTGATACTGATATTCATACTCAAATGAGTGAGCTCTACAAAAGGGCCCAAACATTATCTGATAGTATGACTGGATATAATGATGATGAATTCGAAGAAGTAGAAACTATATAATGCTCTATGTTTGTAAAATTAATAAAATATTTTCATGGTACTCAATTTTTTGTAAGTTTACATACATACACTAAGTCTATTCGTAATTTAATGTGCAAAAAACAAAAGAAATTGATATTCCTCAAAATCTCTTAAATTTGATTTCGGTTGGGAATAAAGCAGAAATTTTATATGTCAAAATGGGGTTTCAATAATTATATTAATTGTGCACTGTTAAGATGTTTAATATTAAATCTTGAACTTACAATAGTTTAGAAATCTAACAATGAAATATATTTTCCTTGATGTTTTGTGAGTATTAAATGATTTTCGCAATAATATGCTAGGAGTTGTATACTACAATTCATATTTCCTCGGAAGTTGGAAATTTTAAATTAGATTTGTTATTACTAATCGATTTGAGAGGCTAGTAATCTCATGAACATCATTATCATCATTGAATCTAATGATAACATGTGAATAGATATCAAGTTTACTCTTGATTTCTTTATGATTGATAATTCTGACAAAATTTTCAAATTGATCGGAAGTTAAGGGTGCACACGAGAGGATCATGCAAACTTCAGAATTTAGAACCTTATTTTTAGGCATTATCTTGGCTACCTATTTAGGCTCGAAAAGCAAAAAATATCAAAAAATACAACTTGACTCCATTATGACCCTTTCATGGAGGTAGTTTTTATCCGCTAGTATTTTCCCTTTGAATCTCTTTACAATTCGAAATCAAATTCAAAACTCAGTAGAAGAAAGGAAGAATCGACTTACTACGGTTGTAATACGAATAAATACATATATTTAATTATTTTTATTTACATAATAATTGTTTGAAGCTCATATTCCATCAAATTTTTAAATAAAAACATTAAAATGTTGAAAATGTTCATATATTTTAATAGGGTTTTGGCACTTTATTGAGGAATTACTACATACATAGTCGAACTGAACTTGATATTTTGAAATTTAAATTATTTATCAAAATTAAAATTTAACTTGAAATTTATAATTATTTAGTCATATTTTGCATAATTCTAAGTAGATTTTGTAAAAAATCAAGAAAGAAAAATTTTAACGTGCTTTATTTTTTCTTTTTTATAATAATACATATTATTATATAATTAACATATTCATAATGTTTCACCCTTTCAAAAATATAATCCTCCTCCTCTCAAATAAACGTACATACGGGTGGCCTCTTTTTTCAAAAAATTAAAATTTGAAATTTTGGGCTCAAATATTAGAGATTTTTTCAACCTTCAACGATATATGTTGTCTATATCAGACCTCCTTTCTTTTTGATACTTAACATTGTTCCTAAATCTTAGCCGTTAAGGCTGTTCTGAAAATATTTTTTTTTCGAAAAAATTCGAAAAAAATTCTTAAAATTCAAAAATCCCTTAATTCCTGAGGATTTTGGAAAAAAGTTTTTACATGAACATGTGTATATTATATGAAGTATATTGATAAGGTAAAAATCAAATTTTATTGCATATTCATCGAGAAAATAAACTACCCAGATTTTCCTTACTTTTACCACCTCTCTAAAGCTGGGGACACCGCCTATCGTTTGGAGTAGCTATTAAATAGAACCACCAAGGGTATTTTTCGAACTGCCGGTGTAGTGGAAACATCCGACATAATGATTCATTATGCCAAGGTTTGATTCCCATTTAGCCAATTTTTTTCTTTTTTGGATCATGAATTTTTTTTTGGGTCACTATAAGATTTGTTTCATGTTCTAAATCTGCTGCATATGTAATCTATTTTTATTTACCTATTTTTTAAAAATCTATTGGATTGCCAAATTTGAATATATTTAAAATCATAAAAATCCAAAAAAACTATAAATATATGTTTTATGCATAGTGCCGATACTCAAATATCAGATTACTTAGATCCATGAATAATATCCGAATTTTTTTTCTTAAAATTAAACTTCAAAACTTCTTGCAATCTTATTCTTCATCTATTGTAAATTTTTAAAACCATTTTTTAAAATAATTTTGCGTAAATTTTATTCTCATGTTGTTTTAATCGAAAATTGATACATTTTCAAAAAAATAATATTGACTTATGAAATTCATTTTTAAGGTGAAATAGTATTGTTTTTATTAAAGTATATGAATAATATATAAAAAATTAATGAATAATATAAGCAGATTTTTAGTTTACAACAAATATGAGCAATGCAATTTCAAACTTTTGCTGGCAATTTCGATATTGCTCAAGTTTGTAGTATTTGTGATACCTATAACATCGGCTTAATCAAAATTCGATTTTTCTTATGAGTTATTGAGAAAATTTGATTGCAATGAGAAGGATTTCGACGTTTTTGATAAACTAAGAGCTGAGCTTTAGGGGTTCAGTTCATTTATGGCTGTAGTTTGATGCGTAGATCTCTTTTTTATTGTAAATTCTTTCAGCATGGAGATCGAGAATGAATCTTTTGAGAACTTTATGAGTTTTTACACCCGTAAAGAGGTCCTTCGAGGAAAGATAGTCCAGACTACATGAAGATGTGGGTTAACCAAAAAAATCCGATGGTTGCCCCATATTCATGTAGATCTTCGAAAAAATGAGCACCAAAAAAGCCAAAAAAATAGGCTTTTTATTGGATTTGTACACTAGATCAATAACCTATTTAGGATCTGACACTCTTTTTAGCCAGAGATATGAGGTCCTTTCTAGGAAAACGATCTATTCATCCATAAAAAAAATGAATTATCGTTTTCCACAGAAATTACATGGGGAGTGGTAAAAGTAAGGAAAATCTGGGTAACGAATCCCTCAAAATTGAGAGGGTAATCCTCCTCCTCTCAAATAAACGTACATACGGGTGCACCCTTAAAAATCAGATATTTGTGGAGAAAAATGCCTTATATAAATAATAAAAACATTTCTATTGAAAAATAATTGAAGCTCCCATCTCAAAGATTTCTGTCAGAGCTTGATTTGGTTAACGATTTTTACAAAATAATGTTTAGCTATGTCTTTTACATGTGTATTAAGAAATCAAAAGATTTTTATTGCAGTTCAAAAAGTGAAGAAATAAATGAAAGTTCGATCGGATAAAGAGTTTCCGCACAAGGTAGTTCTTCTCGGTGACTCACGAGTAGGTAAAACATCCCTTCTTTCAAGTCAAATGCATAAAGAAAAGCATTTATCTCAAAATCCGACCATTGGTTGTCAATGTAATGATGTTGAAATGTTTGTTGATAATCAAAAAGTATCAATTCAGGTATGGGATACAGCTGGACAAGAAATATATAGAGCACTCGTTCCAATATATCTTCGAGATGCCCATGCTGCAATAATCGTTTACGACATTACAGATATGAAGTCTTTCAAAGCACTTCCAGAGTGGATGAATACACTTTTTGGTATTTTCCCACAAAATTCTCCTTTATTTTTTGTGGCAAATAAAATAGACTTAGAAGAAACGCGACAAGTTGAAGATGCAGACGGAGAAGAATTTGCACGAAAGAATGGTGGTCAGTTCCATCGTACTAGTGCTCTCTCAGGAGAAGGAATTGAAGAATTATTTAAGGCTGTCGCCAAAGCACTTCTTCAAAGTCAAGTAACAATGAATGAGCAAGTTCTCATTCCAGCAGATAAAAAGAAAGATGGTTGTTGTTAATTAACTTTACCAATGTATTGATATGTATAAAATAAACTTTATATTCGACTTTATAATTGGCGTCTTTACCAAATATGCTAATTAATACAATGAAATAAATAGTCTTCTTTTCTATTAATAATTGCTAAATTTTTAAAATTTACAGAGTTAATATTGAAAAGTCTAGAATATTAAAGGCTTATCTGCATTATCTTGATTGCTAAGCATTTCTTGTGAATATCTAACTTATAACTATAAAAAATTCAGTTTTCTCATAAAGCATTGTATATAATTTAGCATAAAGAATAAGAAATTAAAAGTTATCTTATGTTAATAATAGTAACATGGTTAATCATTTATTAACAAACAAAAAAATTATAATTGATTAAGTTCCTTTCTTAAAACATTTTCAAAGTTTGTGGAATCAACTATGATGTTCTGCATACTAAATAGATTAGTACATATGATTGATTGGCACTCGACAATGCCATCCCAGCAATCTTTCAAAATTTGGTTGTCTGTACTGATAAATTCGCTCTCAAGAGAAGCAACATATTTAATAAACTTCAATCCTGCACCTTTGGCAGCAGTTTGATACCAATTGAGGCAGGAATATTTATATGGATTGATTTCAATCAAAATTGATGATGGTTTCATGAAAACAAGGCTGGATAATGCAGGAGAAGTAGGTCCTATTAATACATCTGCTTGAGATACTTCTCTAATCTGCTCAATTTTCGATAATTTATTTAATTCTATTATAGAAATGTTATAATCTGGGAACAATTTCTTGATTACATCTACAACATCATTTATATTTCGGATTACGCCGGTTCCTGTGTTTTGGTGAATAATAACTTTTTTCTCGTTGGATTTTTTAATATCTAGCTGAGAGAGTAGTATATTTCGAAGATTTATTGTTTGGTTTGGCTTTATATCATAGTTGTAATAATATGATTCACTTCCGATTGCAATTTTATCTATTCCGAAAGAAAAACTTTCAAAACAGTGGGGTTCTTGGAGTCGTTCGATATCAACGTTTGATAAAAGATATGAAAGCATTGGCGGGTATTCGAATTTTAATGTTGTAAATATTCTTTCATTTTGTGTGTATTCTCTGTCTTTTACGAGATGTAAATAAATGGAAACCACATTATCATATAAATCTCCCCATAAATTACGATTGGATCTATCAACGCCGATGATAAAAGATTGATTTGGAATAAATGTAGCATCTTGGAACATTGTGTTTGTAGTTTTCATTTTATATTGCAATCTATTGTAATCCAAATCGAGAGGTGGAGTTCTTGGTCCCAAAGTAAGGAAGATATCGTCAAATTTTATTTCATATGGACTTAAAACATAATATACACCTTGTTTTATACATAGATTATGCGCTTTGCAAACTCTATTTACCCAATTTGTTCCGTTACATGCAATATTTAAAGTAGGTAACGAAAAATCTTTTTGAAAAATTGTAAATTGCTGCGTTTTCAGTGTAATCCTTGCTTTCCCTCCAACAGATAGAGGAATACTACACTTATAACCTTTGCAAAATTTAGATATTCCAAATTCAATATGAATTCCTGAAGAATTTTGTTGAAATATAACATTTTTTGGATTTCTCCATAGAGAAAATGTAAGATTCCTACTATCATTTGATAATTTTGGAAAAGAAATGAATGAAAAAATTAAAGGAATTGGAGAAATATAATGTGTTAGGATAACTTCTATTAACAAAAAAATAACAGAAGCTGCATAACATATAATAAATTGTTTATTGGTCGGAAATGTCTTTGATTTTATCATTTATTTCCGCCAAAAATAAAAAATGAAAAAAAAAGTGAAAAAATAAAGACGTTTGCAACTTATTCTTTAACCAACTTATTTAGAGGATTTATAAACTTTTCAATACCAAAAAATAGATTTATCAAAATAATGCAATATGATATCAGCTGAAATGCTGAATATATGAATCAAAACTTGCCCAATAAATACCAATCCAATTGTTTTGAAAATCAACCTTAATAAGCGATTAGAAAATGTTCCTGCTATTTTCCACATTGTGAAGGCGACACCCAAAAATACTAAAACAGTTTTTACACAGGGGTTACCAATTTGATATCTCCCCCAGAAGTAATCGAACATTATTTCTAAGATATCATTGTTTTTGAACTCCTTGTTAGAATAAGAACTTGCATCACGCATGGTAAATAAAGCTACCATTTCGCTTTTCTTCTCCAAAAAATCAAGTAAAGCTTGGTTATCCTCATTGTCAATATCAGAAACCTCGCGGCTATACTCTTTCCGACCACGCATAATAGCAATATCAAGGGGAGTCTGTTCATTCTCATTTAAAGAATTTATATCGGCACCGTGAGAAATTATCAGTTCGGCGTTTTCCTTATTAGACATTAATGCTGCTATATGCAGAGGTGTATTTCCATGAATGTTTTGTCCAATGATGTTTACACCTTTTGAAAGTAGAAGGGCAATTAAATCATTGTTGCTGCTTTTCAAATCAAAAGTTATATAATCAAGATACTCAAACACTTGGTTAAAACGTCTCAGAGTTATCTCCATGAACTCTTTATTGTTATACAATAATGCATAAGCAATAGCATTATTTCCAAATTTATCTGTTACGCTGATTCTAGCGCCATCGGATATAAGAAATTGAACAATTTCTTTATAATTCAAAAGTGATGCCAACATAAGAGGAGTGAGACCATATCTGTTTGAATTTTCATTTATTTCTGTACCATGTTTAATTAGAAATTCAATAACTTTTTTATTTCTAAATATGGTTGCTGTATGAAGCAATGAAAAATTACTTTTTGGATCATGAATGTTGATATCAGCACCATGTGAAACAAGTAACTCCACCAAAACAGAATTATTAACAGATACGGCAACATTAAGTGGACGTCCTAATATTTTCTCCAATGCTTCAATATCGCTTCCAAATGAAATAAAATCTTTTGCAATGTCTGTTTGATTTTCAGTAATTGCCAAATGAAGAGCTGTTCCACCATCCGGATCTGACGCTCTGATGTTTCCGCCATTAGCATACAAATATTTACAAAGATCTCTAATATGATAAACTGGAGAAAATACCAAACACCCATTGATATCATGATATTCAAGTAAATAAATAAGAAAAACCTCAAGATTTAGATATTTATGACATAGAGGTAGTATTGGCATGTGAAATCCGGAAATTTGTATCTTGTAATCAGTAATCAATCTCATAATAATACCTGAATTATGAGATGCAATTGCAGCTTCAATTGGAGATGTATCAGGTGTTTGTTCATTCAAACATTTTTCAATGATATATTTACTTTGTCCTTTAATTGCTTCGTCAAGACATTTTTTGGTGATTCTCACATTATATCCTGTTCTTAATAACTCAAAACAAAATCTTGCGCCATTTAAACAGCAACTTTCAAGTAATTCACTAAGATCAATTTTTTCACTTTTTAAGAATTGTCGTAAAGCTTCTTCATCATCATTTAATATTGCCTCTTTATAGGTATTTTTAATGACATTATCATATTCAGAAAGAAATGAAATATTCAAACTGTTTTCGCAATGATATTCTTCAGACAATTTTTTCATAATCTCTATATACGCATGACGATAACATAAACGAGTTTCACTAACTACTTTTATCTTGCCAATTATCTCTTGTGCAGTAAAATATCCAGTATCAATCAAGTTAACCTTGATATCGTTGAATAATCCGTTTGTTAAACTTTTTTGATCTGAATTTATTCTGTAAATTTCATCCCATGTGTTGATATATCTCTGATATTTATTATTAAGTGTTTCATAATGGACAGCCATTGAATTGAATCCCATTATTTGAATAACTAAAATGGCAAACATGAATATGACCAATGAACACTTGATGTCAAAACGATTAAAAATCCAGTTATGACGTTTTGGAAAATACGATAATTATCAAAAAATTCAATGAAACCTTTCAAAGTAAAAAAAATCATTATTTCGCTTGAATAAGCTATGCTACCAGATTGATTTCATTATATACGAGATGAGCTAATACAATTGATTGTATTTGCTATTAAAACTCCAATTAATTGACTGGAGTATATTAAATCAAAGTTGTCAAGAATCTTTATCATTGAAACTAATACGAAAACACAATTTGAGATAGATTTTGATTGTATTCAAATTGATTACTCTTTAAAAAAGAATCAATATAGATACCATAATGGCTTTTTTCACTCATTTTTGAGGGTAATAGATGGAAAACAAGATGGATTTGCGACACTATACTTTTTATGAATTTTTTTTGAATAGTATCTAAAAAAGAGCAAAATGAAATCGAAATAAATCAACGAAAATGTTAAGAGATTATTCGAAACAGCCTATCCATTTAACAGCAATTACCGTTTTCCCTTATCGTTTCGTATTTCTTAAGTCATTAGTTTATTATTCATACGTGTTTTAATATTAAGCAAAAAAATGAGGTTTGTAACGTTAACTTGTATGAAAGTAAGTTGTTAAATAATTCATAAAGATAAAATCACAAAAATCTCCAATAAGATAAGATTTTAACCAGCTCGTTGCTTCAATATACAAATATTGAAGTGGTGAACAGGCAATGTATAGGAGAGTCTTAGAGCACCGTAATCAAACAATCAACCCCGGCCACTTGACCTCCACTTGTATAGTGAAGAGCCAGCGGTTATTTGGAATTTCTAAACGGCAATTTATATGAATGAATTTACACCAATAACAAAGGACTTCCTTTTGAAATATATCGAGAATAATGATATGTCTGTACTTCGACAGATTAACTCTGCCTTTGAAATCCAATTTTCTTCGTACGACTTTCGAAATTCTAATTTCATATCTACATGGGAACACCAAATTGCGTATTTATTAGATGTATGCGAAATTTTGTATGGCAAAATAAATTATTCATCATTTGTATCTCAGATTTTTCACTTAATTATCAACATTACCAAAAAAATCGATGAAATCGGAAAATTTTCTCTCTACCAAGCTGAGGCTCTCTTTAAGTTAGGTAAGCATGAGTTGGCTTTAAAAAATCCTGGTTTAGCGATAGATTCTTTTTTAGCTTCTTCTTCTATCTACGAAACATACTCCTTACCGATTGAATTAGCATTATGTTATGCAAACATTGCGTATATATATTACTTACAAGAACGCTACGATAAAGCAATCTCTTATGCACTTCCTGCGCAGCAAAAACTATATAACTCGAAACACAATTCTGAATACTCGAGCATTTGTGACTTACTTTCGTTACTTTATTTAGAATTAGATGAAAAAGATCTGGCTATTAGGTACCTCCAAGAATCTTGTAGAGAACAGATTCCTGTTATACCATCAAATATTAAACTTAATTTACTTGATTTTAGCCCGCAAATTCCTAATACGAAAAATCCAAGACTGACGAAGCTGAAATCACAAGAAATAATAATTAAAGACCAATCTACAAAGTTAGATGACTCCATTAATCAACTACACTCTTTATGTTTTTCATAATTTGAAGAAATACTAATTTAATCCAAGCTTATAGTAAGCTTTACTCCTGTTTGTTATATAAGAATAAAAATTGTTTAATAATATGAAGCAAATCTTGACTCATAAACTTTTATGATAGTCAATATTTCTTGAAATCCGAAGGATTTGAAAAAAAAATCTATATTAATGAAGGTTTAACTTTAATATACGCTTATCCAGGGTATAAAAATGTTTCAACACTCGATTTATCAATCCTGATTTTCCAAAAAAAATTGAAAAAATTCAAAATAAAATTAAAAAACATAACTTTTAACTTGAAAATTCAATTTTTGAAAAAAATTTGGAAACCAATGATATCAAAAATAGAATTCTCAAAGTATTCTTGTTAAAATATATTGAAAATTCATTTAATTTTAATCAATATTTTTAATTTCATCACAGAGAGTGATTTCTATGTAACTTTCTTTATCAATAGTAGGATACCTTGAAAAGGAACGCTATGAATATCTCGACATTTTTGCCATATTTTTGATGGTGAGATTGCAGACGTTTATCTTTCAGATCATTCTCAGAAAGGAAAGTATTTCAAGATTTACCGCCGATAATGAAAACAACATTGATTAAATCTCAGCACTTCCAATGAAAATATTGTTAAACACCTATCTTACAATTCTTCTTGAGAGCATTTCAAACAATTTTGCTTTAACAATCGATGTAATCGAAGGGAAAGTACGAATTGATTTCTAAGAAGTAAACTTCATAGTCTATAAAACTTTTTCATAAAACAATACATCGCCGATTAAATCAAGAAACAAATTTTTAATAATCAATCAGTTACATTATTGACAAACTCTCATTTGTCATAAAAATTTAGTAATTAATTCAAAATTGGAGGAGATACCATTACAATCTAGCTTTCAAGAAAATTGATGTAATATCATCTCATCAAGAAAAAAGACTTACTTCTGCAATCTAAGATCTCCACTTGATACATATGCAACAAGACAGAATTTTTAGAAATTACGAAATTTCTTAATTAATGGAAAAAAGGAACTCCATTTGTTTAGGCATCAGAAAGGCACGATATCCGGAAGTAACAAAAGCTACTTATTTCATGGAAATAAAGAACTCCACTCGTTACTGCAGAAAAATTGACATTTTTCAGAAGTTGTAAAAGTTCTTTTTGACATGGAAAAAAGAAAAAAGCTCCTCCCGTGTGGATCGAACACACGACTTCCAGATTAACAGTCTGACACTCTAACCAACTGAGTTAGGGAGGAATTCACGATATTCATATTGAACTTGAACATAAAATAAAAATTAATATTTTTTTTGTATTACATTTTTTATAAATTGATTTGTATTCTTGATTTACTCTTACTCTATTAATTTTTGATCTTCACAAAACTTTGAGAGAAATATTCAATTTAACCTTACAACGATCAATTCTTTTTATTTATTTTCAATATATATCTGATATCATTGAATTTTCCTTCAGGTATTTTTTAATTCAGATTGCTTTCAATTTACAAAGATTATTATCCTTCTTCTTTATATTAATTAATGTATTTCTCATTTTTTTTAATTTTCAATACTTTATTCAAATCATATTTTCAAATCGATATGACTCCTCCGAAGTACAAAATCCAATTAGAAAAGCCAATCCCACCACCACCTCCACCACCACCAGTATATAATGGTCGTGGACCTTCTACAACATTTAATATGCCTCAAGCTCCAGTTGCAAATCCAAATAATCAGCATTTTCAATATAATATGACAATTCCTGAATTATTACCACCACCACCTGGAGCTCAACCACCACCAGTTCCTGGAGGTTTGCTTCCTCCTGATAAATCCAATCAAAATGTTCCACCATCACCACTTGAAAAATTATTATCCTCTGGTATTCCAGGTGGTGCTGATGCACAACTTGGACAGGATGCTATCCATGATGCACACAAATTTACTGATATATTTGGAAGCCAATTTATCCCAGATACGGCAATGATGAATTCTATTTCAGTTTTGATGAACAACAAAGGCGATAAAAAGGCCAAATTTAATTTCAATCCAGGAATGTTCCAGAGTCCTGATGCGTTTATGGTAATGCCTCCACCAGCTCCTCAAAAAGAACTCAACTTAAAGGCAAACGCAGCACTTTCGTTTACTCCAGAAGCATCGATTACATTTTCTCGTGCTGTATACCCAACAATCCAAGCTTGCATTGATGCAGCACCAAACAAATCATACATTTATATTCCTACCGGAATTTATCCAGAAAGACTCAAAATAAACAAGAAAGTTGCCTTAGAGGGAACAGGAAGTATATCGATATGCGGTGCCGATATAACAGATAACTGCTCTTTACATAAAATTACTTTTCAATGCGACAACCATGGCAAAGGAGGTGATGTAAACATAACGAATCACGCAATTGTATCATTTTCTAATGTATCTTTCTTTACAAATGAAACCAACGCCCTTGCAATTAAGGAAGATTCGATTGTTACTCTTGCTGACTGTAAGATTACATCATTGATGCTTCCATGCGTCTTTGTTAATGCACAATCCTCCATTCTCGCCACAAATTCTAACTTCGAAGGCTCTCAAACATACGGCATTCTTTTGGCAGATGAATCCTCAGCACATATAGAGAATTGCATCCTCAAAAGGAACGGTAAAGCAGCTATCTGCACTACAGGAACATCGACAGTTACAATTGTAGGATCACAAATCGAGTTTAATAACGATGCCATAGAAATCAACGAAACAGGCCAAGTAAACATCAACAATTCATCGATATCTCTTAACCAAGATTACGGTATTATCATCAAATGCCGCTCATTCGTTCAAGTCAAGAATTGTAATTTTGATTCCAACAAAGAAGGATCAGTTTTAGCCTACAACAACGGTATATTCTTCAGTTTTGACAGTTTATTCAAAGGATCCCCCGACAAACCAATCATTTACTTAGCAGGAGGAGCGCAAATGAGCTCATCCGGAGACAACTTCTCAGGAAAGTGTCTCGGCGCTATTGCATCAGCCTCAAAGTCCGAAATCTACTGCGAGAACTCCAGTTTCAGCATGCAAGGATCCGGAATTATCGCAAATCAGTCCACAATCACCTTACAAGACATATCATGTTCAGCAACAGTTATGGCCGTCCAAGTTGCCAGCTCTTTCATCGAAGTGAAGAACTCGAAATTCGCATCTGACCAAACAACATTTTCATTGGCCGGAATCAGAGGAACAGTTATCAACTGTGATTTCACGGGAAAGAGCATTGGCGCAGCGATAAACAACGTTGAATTGCGATTTGTCAATTGTTCGTTCATTGGCTATAATCAAGCTGTTTCTGTTGCAGTTGGAAAACCATTGTTCGACCAATGTTCATTCAAAACAAACCAAACAGGAATTGAAAACAACGATGGAACATTGTCGCTGACTAATTGTGTTTTCGAACATAACGGAACACACATCAACCACAAGAACAACCAGATGCATGTTACTAAATGCAAATTCTTGTCTGCACAACAATCCGCGTTTATTCAGACAGGAGGAAAAGTTGCAATTACAGAAACAGAGTTCAAATCGAATAAGACAGGTGTTGATGCTTCATCATCAGAGATATTGATTGATTCATGTACATTCACAAGCAATGGAATGTTTGGTGTACAAGTTCGCGGAAAATCATCATTAATTATATCTAAATCTAAGTTCACTGACCATTTCAAGTCCCTTTTGTTGATTGCTTCTCGCAGTGCAATTAATGACTGCACATTCGAACAGGCATCATGCGGACACATTGAGTTGATGAGATCTAATGTCAACATGGATAATTGCACAGTATCTAACACTCCATGCGGATTCCAAGTCACAGAGTCATCAATGCTTTCTTTCGTTAATTCATCAGTGAAATCATGCGAGAAAGGACTTAACGTTATTGGTCCTAAATCATCTGCATCAGTTGTTAATGTTAGATTTTCACAGACATTGACTCCTTTCTCAGGAGATGTCCAGAGAATCAAACAACAAAACTTAATTGTTGAATAATTCTTTTATTGCTTATTTTTATTTTGTTTTAATATATATATCTTTAGTTATTAAAATTACCACTTTCTGGCATTCTCTCAATTTTTTATTGACTATATTTGTCATATACAAACATCACATTAAATTAGTTATTCCATAATGATTAATAATATTAGATTTGCAAAGCAAAATACCGAGTTATTATTATAGAAATCAACTTTTTAGTTAGCCTTTTAATATATATTAATAGGAAGTCAGAAAGTGATTAAACATTCATAAAAAATTGATCAGACAATCTTAATTATCCTTTTTAAACTGTTTTTTTACATTCATATATTAAGGGTATAGTAGTAGGATATGAAGGGTTGTGTGACTTTTTTTGTTACATCTATATATAGACGATGCATTAAAATATATTTATTTATAAATCATTAAAAAATTAACATTAATTTTAAAATAATTTATTTTTTTATCTTTTATAAAAGAAGCTATATATAGATGATGTCAGATATTCCGCGATTAATTAAACATTGTTTAAATCCTGAATGGAATCAATGGAGTCATAATCAAAGACCTCATAAACGAGTAAAAGAAATTAGAAATAAACTTCTTACGAAAAATTAAAACTTAGTTATGTTTATTATTTTATTTTTTTATTTTGTATGAAATGAGCGTCAAAACTAACAACGTTAAAAAATTAGGATTCACAAACGAGGAAATAAAGGATATATTAGAGGAGGTGGGTTATGAAGTTGATAAATATTATTTAAGAAATTGTAAAAAATTCGCGGAGTTATTAAATGATTTAGATTATGATGGAAAAATGAATAAAGATGATGTTATAAATTTCTTATATCCCACATCTGAAGAAGAAAAACCTAAAGAACCTGATGTTTTCCCTGAATATTATGAAGAACGGATTAAAGATGATGAATACAATGAAATTGAAAGACTGAAAAAAATAAGAGATGAAATAGATGAAAAAATTAAGGAATTAAGAGAAGTTGAAAAATATAATGAAAATTGTAATAAACAGAAATTCATCAAAAGTGACAGCTCTCAATTTTTTGACATTTGTAAATTCTAAATTGAATGAGAAAAATGAAATAATACTAAGTATAATACAATATTCTAGATTTAATTATAATTAGGAAAAAGTTAGTTTTGAGAGTACTTTTCATAGGCATATAGAATGAAATCTTCTGAAAAATAATATCACATAAACTTATATTATTTTCTAATATATAACTATTTTATATAAAAATCAAATTCAATGATCTTAAAAGCGAAGGATAAACCTCAAAATTTACGAATATAATGAGTGGGAATATAATGCTTATCTATCATAAAACCATATGAAATATCAATTTTTGCTTTACGCCTAATTTTTGACGACAATTAGCAAAAAATGTTAAATGTTAACACTCAGTCCATTTGAATATGAAAAATAAAATTGACTTTGATTAAATGTTTTTATTTATCATGCAATTCTTCTTGCGACCAAAGATTTGAATAAAATTTCAAAAAATAAGATAGCTTAAAAAATAATATACGGTAGTGTTTACTAATAGATGAATAGTATATAAATTCTATTAAAATGGATTTGATCCAAAAAAATATAAAACCAAAAATAATTGTTATAATTTAAATGAAGAAGTAATTTAAAACGATTTTATTTATGATCAAATTTTATATATTTTTTTGGATCAAATCCATTTTAATAGAATTTATATACTATTCATCTATTAGTAAACACTACCGTATATTATTTTTTAAGCTTCTTATTTTTTGAAATTTTATTCAAATCTTTGGTCGCAAGAAGAATTGCATGATAAATAAAAACATTTAATCAAAGTCAATTTTATTTTTCATATTCAAATGGACTGAGTGTTAACATTTAACATTTTTTGCTAATTGTCGTCAAAAATTAGGCGTAAAGCAAAAATTGATATTTCATATGGTTTTATGATAGATAAGCATTATATTCCCACTCATTATATTCGTAAATTTTGAGGTTTATCCTTCGCTTTTAAGATCATTGAATTTGATTTTTATATAAAATAGTTATATATTAGAAAATAATATGAGTTTATGTGATATTATTTTTCAGAAGATTTTGTGTTCTTCTTCAAAATTTTATTTTTTTATTAAAAAGAATCTTTACAAAATATACATTTACTTTAATTAATATTTAAAAACGTGCTCTATCAAAAGTTCCAAAAATTCAATATTTTAGCTTTTCTGAGGTGTCACTTTTGATGAATTTCTGTTTACAACAAAATGAAGTAGAGGGTTTAATGAATATCCCAGCTTCAGAATCAGAAGTTCAGAAATCTCATGAAGAAAGATATAAAAATTATGTCTCAGAATCAACACAAATTTATTAGATGGTGAAATAGACGAAACACTTTCAGAAGAAGGTACTAAATTTATTCGTAAACATAAGTTACAATTTATTGATAATGAAGAATACCCCTGTATCCTACTTTCACCACCTTTAGATTCCGAAAAATTCAAAAAAGCTCTTAAAAACGTGACATATGCAACTAATACGATTAAGAAAGAAGATCATGATATTTACACAAATTATTATTTAAATAAATGCACATGTGTTGATAAAGTTTTTGATTTATTAGATAAAATATCAAAAGAAACCATTGGAACCTATAAAATTTTGTGTGATTGTGGTTTCATTATTGAAGATACCAATAATGTTTCATATGAAAGAACAGCACCGAAGGAAGACGAAGTGGAAAGGTATATACCATTCGTTATTAAGAATATAAAAGATATGAAAACGTATAAGCATTATATTTATTCATTTATTTCAGAAAAAATGGAAGCAACCCATAAAACATCTTCTCATCATTTTATAGCTATTCATACATTCCTTTTCAAAATTGTGAAATTAAATAAGACAGGAATTAGATTTAATGTATCAGGGTACGCATTCTTGAGTAAATTAAAATGTATTCGTCACGTCGCAGATGATAAAAATTTATGTGTTCTTAATTCATTTTATGGGCTTTAAAAAATAAACTTTATTATTTTTATTTTTAATTTTTTATTCTTACATAAATGAACAAAAACGGAACAGCTAAAATGAATGATAATCAAATTAGAGCAGAAGGTAGAAGGTTATTTAAACGCTTCTATAACATTCCTGATGGTGCTAATCCTAAAACTCGTAGAAGCTATTTAAATGAAGCAATAGATGCATATGAAGGGTTTGACATTTCATCAGAAGTGAGAGATTAGCGAGAATGTTAAATGTTAATATTGATTTCTATTTTGTGATCCTCACCAGAAGACGTGGACATAAATAAGGTAGACTTTCCATTAGTGGAATCAATAATGATAGATCCAGAATTTGAAACAGTAAATATTTTATTAACACAGAGTCCATGTGGAAAACTTCACGCTGACAGAATAACAGACGTTGAAGCACTCACCGGCTATAAAGTTTGTCCATATTGTAAAGAAGAAGTTTATTCTATCCGTGATGATCCAGAAAGGAAAAACCAAAGAAGATTTTTAAAGCATTGTGAGAAATGAAAGAAAATAATGGAAGATTAATTCAAGACGTTCAGTTGCAAAAGACACAGCAACCATATGCACCACATATTACGAAACAGAAGATATATCAGTGGTTATTAGCTCACAATTTGCAGAAATATTATAAACCGACAAGATATTATATTACTTTTGACTTTGAAACATTAGAGACTAAAGAAGAATTACAACTTTCTGAGTGTGCAACTTTGAACGCTTACTTAAAACCATTCATGGTATCATCAACGGTTAAATTAAACGATAAAACATATACGAGGAATTTTTGCTTAACTTCGAGTGATTCTTTTATTTCTGATTGGATTGAGTTTTTATTTTCAACCTGTTCATTAGTTGTTGAATCAAATATGAGTCAATACAATGAATTATTGAAGTCGCAAACGGCGGGAACTTTGTCTCATACATTAAATGAAAAACAGAAGGAAGCATTTAAAGAACTTCTAGATGAGGAATTCAATAAAGTGAATATCATAGGTTTTAATTCGGGAAAGTTTGATTTAAATTTAATTCTTCGTGATTTAAACACTGCAAAATGGAAATAAAATCAATGCTGGGTTCATCTTCACAATTTAAGCAAATCATTGTAAAGAAAACAAACGTTCCATATGAATTGAGATTTATTGACATCAGAAATTATATAGCGGGGGACATTAGACCAATTCACTCAAGATTTCGGAAACAATAAATCACGTGTTAAATCCTTTTTTCCCTTATCAATTCATCACATGGAAAATTACGAAGAAGAATTATATAAAGAGGAACCATTCACGAAAGATTCATTTATCAGCATTAACCCAAGAAACTATATCAGATAGTGATTATCAAATATATCTCAATGATGCTAAAATTTTTAAGAATAGATTAGAATATTTTATTCATTATTGCAATAAAGATGTTGAAATTATGATTGACCCAATCGATAAAATTATTGAAGAAACATTTGTTTATAAAATTGACACGCTTTCATAATCTTTCTTTATCATCGAATGCTTCAATGATTCGTTACGCTTTAGCATATAAAGACTTTAATCCTAATGAAAAATATCCTGAGGAAGAGATAGAATCAAGTTTTGAATTAACGAAAAAGTATTGGAAATATAAAATTGAATCATATAAGAAACAAGATGAAAAGCAGAAAGGGATACTAAAAATAATGTTTCAATGGATGATTTTCAATACTATCACGATTTAATCCTTTCATCTAAATGCAAAATGTGTGGTAAAGCGTTTACATATGCAAATAAACCAACATTGGATAGAATCGATAATGAAAAACCACATACCAAAGAAAATTGTCAGTTAATGTGTTGTTATTGCAATGTCGTAAAATCAAATAAAGATGAAGATGTTCAACGTTTAAGAATCAATTTAAGAAATTATGCATTAAAAAATAATTACCAATGACTTTAGATTCAGTTGAAGCTTATCACATTCTCCGTAATGGAATTACT